CAGAAGAAGCCTTAGCTGATAGGTACTTTTAGGATGCCTCATTTACATAGGGCGGTGGGCTTCTATCAGGCTATCAGACAATGCCTGATTAAAACCTGGTAGCTCCTGTGCCAGAGGGCATGTATTTGTGGCAAGCACTTTAGAAGAGTCAGGGAAGATGCCAGGAAGGCACTCTGCTATGAAAGGAATCTGCAGCACATGGTTTCCGAGCTCGTGAGCTATCCGGACGTGAAGAGACTTCTACTTGCGTAACAGAGGACCCCAACACATCTGAAGCCTGTGTTTCTTCAGAGATGGTTCCAACACAACTTTCTTTCTGAAGGGGCCAAACCTCCCCCTTTCCTTCATGCGCCCTGTCGTTTGGGATTGTCGTTTGTCGTTGGGGATCATTTATTTGTGAAGCTACCTCTCCCAATCTCTGCAGACTGCATTTATGCCAACACCACCTTTCAGTAACTGTTAACTGTTCTCAGTCAGGTTATGGCTGAGTCTTGCAGGCTTTTCCTAGTTGCCTTTTTTCCCCATCTGAGTTAGGGCAACACAAGTCCTTCCAGCAACTCCCAGACTAGTTGGAACCTTGAGTTAAGTTCTGTTCTGCTCCCTTCCGTTCGAGAGAGGGAACTGGGGATCCAGCAATGTTACTTTTTAAAGTGCTGTTTCCAGAGCTGGAGAATGGCTCAGTGGTTAAGAGCACTTGCTGCTCTGAGGACCTGGTATTGATTTCCAGCACCCACATGGCAGCTAACAACTGTCCATAACTTCAGTTCCAGGGCTCTAATGCCTTCTTTTGATCTCCATGGGCAATGCACGGCATGCATGTACTTAGATACATGCAGGCAATACATTCACACACATAAAAATAATAAAAGTGCGGTTTCCACTGACATAAGGAGTTTCCACCTTCATTGTACAATGTAAAGGAACCACAGACTAAATTCTAAAATCTGAAAAAGGAGGTTCTCAAAACTTATTGTCTAACTTCACAGTAGTACTGTCCCATCTTGACAGTAGTTTGCAAAGTCCAGTACAACACCAGTAGCCTTCAGTTAAATCTCAATTTTGAAAAAGTTAAGACTGGTAACATTGCCTCCACGTTTTGTTTTTTTTTTAACATCAGAATATTAAGAAACCACCGAAAGGAGCAGAAACTGTGGCTTTGCCCACTGAGCCATCCTGCTGGCGCTACAATACGTAGTCTACTGCTGACAATTCTTCTCAACCCTCTCATATTGTAATAACCACTTTACTATATTTTTGCTGAAGCAGAGGTTGACTGGATCTTTCAGCACCGCATCTGCCAGTTGGTTGAACAACTCTAAAGTTGCTTCATTCTGTTTATAATTTTAGGAGTTTACCGCTTAGTTACCAAGGTTACTTACCCTGCTGTTTAGGATGTTCCACGTGGATACTTCAGTTAGGGCCACACTGGTAGAACTCTAATATTTAAAGTTAGTAAGTGGTATACCCAATCCTGCTGGCTAGGCTTAAGGTTGGTGAGGAAACCAGAGTTCCTATGTTTTAGCCTTTGACTCAAAACTTCAGCATTAACAACAACAAAAATGATTCTCAGCACTCAGGAAGCAGAGGCAGGTGGATCTCTAAGATTGAAGTCAGTTTAGTCTACATAGTGAGTTCTAGGCCATCTGGGGCTATAGGGAAACCCTGTCTCAAAAAAACAAAAACTTGATGACTTAGGCTAAAGCTAAGTCCTCACTAAAGAAAGAAAAATCACTGCCAATTATGAAACTCTGTGGAGGATTCAGATCTAACTCTGAAAAGATATAATCCCCTCCAAGACTCTGGTTTGAATAAGGAAACATGCAAGATAGTGGAATGTGGAATTTCCTTTATAAAATTATCTTACTAAATTTATTCCACTTGTTAAAACACATAGCAACTATTTTCTAGCATTGCATCCATGTCAACTAGAGGTTTCTGGTGCTGAGGACTGAACCCAACGGTTCACATGCCATACGTGCTGCTCTGCACTGAGCTATACCAGCCTAAAAGAATTTTTTTCTTGGGTGTTTTTGAGACAGGGTCTCCCTGTAACCTCAGCTTACCCAGAACTCACTATGTAGACCAGGCTGGCCTTGAACTCACAGAGATCTGCCTGCCTCTGTCTCCCAAGTGCTGAGACTAAAGGCATGCACCACCACGCCCGGCTTAAAAATCTATTTTTGAAGGTATCTTTGGCTGTAAATTTTTATTTAAGTGCTGAGCTTAATTCTTAGAACTTAAAACATTTAGTTCTTAATGTTTTCTGCTAAAATCTTTGTGGTGGACAAAGAGTAGTGAAGAAAAAGGAACTTTAGAGTTTTTTGTCATGAGGAAAAATGCCTACTTTCCCAAAATTGAGGAGCCTTTGTGTAAATGTGGATTTACCAGAAACAATGTAAGCAGCCTAAAGATCCAGTAACACTCTCAAGGTCACAGTCACACTACTGTAACCCTGTTTCTGAATAAGAGAAAGCTGAAGTATCATTCCTATAACAAACGACAACCAAAGCTCTTCTGCCTTTGGAGAAAATACATTTTTGGTTGTACCTGAAGAGCCTGGGCATGCCCTACCATGAAGCTGTACCCCAAGGAAACATATTTTGAGTAAACGTCTCAACCTTCAGAGAGCTTACATTCTTCTTATGTAACAAGGCCAGGTGTAAGCCCTATGTACTAAAGAAGTAACAAATTAGAATTTACCTGTTACTGCTGTATTTTACATTCAGATTTAAACATGAAAAATACCACACAGAAACTTTTTTTTAAAAAAGATTTAAGATCATAAATAGGTCATTGCTGTGTAACACATTTCAGAATTTTAAAAAAACAAACATTTTGGCTTTTTAAGATTTCCTTTAAAAAAATCAATTCCTTCATCAATGAAAGGACCTTTCCATTCTTAAGCTTCCAGTCTCCTAAGGCACAATATTTCATCAGGACGCCAACATCACCACCCTGCTGCAGGAGGAGCAGGACAGAGGCAAGGTGTTGGCTCTGAAAATAGCAAAACTTCTGGACAGAATCAGTCATGTAAGGAGAGGGAAGAGCCGCCTGAGCAATGAGCACTGTGGGAGGAAGGCCTAGTCAGCCACGCAGGGCTTCTTGATTAAAGTATTTAACTCAAACCTGATGAATTCAGCAGTGGTGAGGGGGGATTGATAAAATGTAGTTTCTTTAAATTAGAGAAAAAAAATCAACTTAGAGTAACATATGGAGGGGCAGATATCTAGAACCCAGGTCAGAGTCCTAGTTTATTATTAGTGTTCAGCAATCCAGAATACACCAAAAGGAAGACTAGGTTTGTAAGGCATCTGTATCCTAATCAGACAGCCTAATCTGGCCAACTTTAAAATACAACAAAATTAAAAATTCCTCATTTTAACTGTCTTATATTCTGATACTGACTGACCTACAAGGTTTTGTACAATGCGATGATCTAGCATTAATTTTAAAAGAAAAACCCACAAAATGATTGTCCACAGATGAAACATGGGATGAGGTTATGACTGAATCAATCATGGAGTGTTAGTCAACTGTAAACTTCTGAAGGTTAAGAACAGGAATCGTGTGTCAGATGCATTAGTACAACAGGAGGAGGAAGCTTGTTTGTCATTCCAATTCTGACAAGGTGCATGGTCTTCGGAACTCTTGTCCACGTTCATGGAGCCATTTATTGGATACTATAAGACAAAAAATATATTACAAGTTTAAAAATAAAACCAGATAAAGAAAGTCATTAAACCTGACACGTTGGAAGCATGGGCATACATGTACTGGGAGGCTGGGCACATTTGCTACAGCTTCCAGTCTCACTATGAGACACAAGTGGAATTAAGATAGAAGCCCAGATGGAGCAGAACACCTCTAAAAATGAGACAGTAAAAGGAACACAAACTGCCCCTGGAAGACAGCCCTCGGGTCAGTCACTGCCAGAATGTACTCATTAAGTTGCCTTAGTTCCAAAATATTTTAAGTACCCCAAATAAATTTTCTTCCCCATTTCTAGTATCACAGAACTCAACATTGACTTGTACAAAATACCTGAACTAAGTTCCTTAACTCTTCTTTTACCTTTATCAGCCCTGATCCCAGTCTTTTATCAAATCTGCAATCTTTGTTATATCTTTGAGCCCAAACCTTTTGCTGCTGCTTTGGAAGCAACCTCATCATTGCCCACAATGGAAAAAGCTCATCACAGCTGCTCTCTCCCCAGTCGGCTTCTCCTCACTGTTGTCCAATGCTTCTTATCATCAGGGAGGGAAATTTTTATGTCTTGTTAAGGAGGCCTCCTTACAGTGGTTATGTGGTAACCCTACACACACGTAGCTATGTAGCATTTGAAATGTGGCTAGTGACATACTGAAATTAATGTGGGCAATCCTGAACCTCCATGGCTTGAAAGGAAGGCCTTCCCCATTCCCCTTTTTCTCTTTTTGAGACAGGGTCTCCCTGTAGCCCTAGCTGGCCCGGAATCTTTTTCAGAGAATACAGGAAGTATTTACCCCATTTGTTTCCAACTAGCACCGGACAGGCTGCATGCCGTGTACTATAATCTCCTTCTCCACTGGCAAACAGGTTATACCAGAAGACAGCAGTTCCCTATGGAGAACAATTCAAAATTGTCAGCAAATAAAATTTCAGGTTTCTGCAATCTACAGTACTTAAATGTGCCCATTCCCCTTTACGGTAATTTAGATTTTTGTTAACTGTATTTTTATTTTATGTGTATGAGTATTTTGCCTGCATGTGTCAAAGTACCCCATGTCGTGCAATGCCCATGGAGGCCAGAAGAGGGCATTAGATCCCCTGGAACTGGAGTTACTTACAAGGCCCCATGTGAGTACAGGGAACTGAGCCCAGGTCCTCTGCAAGAGCAGTCAGTGTTCATAACCACTGAGCCATTTCTAATAGCCTTATTTTTTTTTTTCTTGATCACACAAAAAAGTTAACACCATAAAGCAGGTTGACAAAAATGAGGTTTCTTAAGAAAACCAAAATAATCTGGCAATATGGAGAGGGGAAAATCCTATAAACAATTCTAATTATTACACACTCTTGTTCTTATCTAAATTTTTACTGAGGATGAAGTTTTAAAATGTAACCCATTCATTAGGCCAGGAAATTAGGTGCAGCTCTACTTCAGGATAAAAAGACCAAACACAACAAACTGAGCTTACTTTTTTGGGCCAAACGCTTGCTCCTACTTCAGGAAAGACAGTAGCTCCTCCTGCAGACACGTCACTCATCTATAAAAGGGAGAGAGGGTCAGACACACCCTTGTGAGGCGGTAACACTGACTGGGTGCTGCTCACATGCAGATTTCTACTTACGGAAAGCTGGATTTGTACATGGCTCTGTAGTTTTGTTTTTTTTGTCTTTTTGAGACAGCATCTCCCTGTAGCCCCAGCTGGCCTAGAACTCACTATGTAGACCAGGCTGGCCTTGAACTCTCAGAGATCCGCATGCCTCTGCCCCCTGAGTGCTGGGACTAAAGGTGTGCACCACCATGCCCAGCTGCTCAAAGCTATTAGGTTTATACACCTGAGCTTAAAATAAACTGCAAAAAAGCAAGGAGTAATTAACAAAGTAGGAAGGGAAATGAAACTGGAATTTGAGATGGGCATTTTTATAACTCTAGAAGGTAAAAGAAGTGACTTTAAAACTAATAAGTGAAGTAACAGACGTGTACGTGCCATCTCCAGGGGCAAGAGCTTCCATGCTTTCCTCACCAGCAGCACTCAATGTGCAAACAGCAAAAGCTCAATGATTGTTTTTTACATAAAGTACTGGGTTTTTTTTTTTTTCATTCTTTGGGGTTTTTTGTTTTTGACTTTTTGAGACAGGGTCTCCCTGTAGTTCCAGCTGGCCAGAGATCCCCCTGCCTCAGCCTCCCAAGTGCTGGGATGAAAGGCATTGTGCAACCACACCCGGCTCTAGGAAAGGCTTTTGGTGTTTATGTATGGGTACAGAGGCCAGAGGCTGACATTGGGTGATTTCCCTAGGTGCTCTCCACTGTATATTTTGAATCAAGGTCTCGGAATCTGAAGCTCACTATTCAACTAGAATGGCTGGCTCCAGGATTCTCCTGTCTCCCCTCCCCAGTGCTGGGATTAGTGTACACCACAATGCCCAGCTTTTTATTTGAGGGCTGCAAATCCAAACTTAAGTCCTCATGCTTTCATGACAAGGAATTTACTGACTGAGGCATGTTTCCAACCTGTTTAGATAAAATTTAGATGAGAAAAATCATATATATATATATATGGTTCGAGGCCAGCCTTGTCTACCTAGTGAATTCCTGGACAGCTGAAGCTACAGGGAGACCCTGTAATAATTTCAAAAAATAAAGCTCATGCTTTCATGACAAGGAATTTACTGACTGAGGCATGTTTCCAACCTGTTTAGATAAAATTTAGATGAGAAAAATCATATATATATATATGGTTCGAGGCCAGCCTTGTCTACCTAGTGAATTCCTGGACAGCTGAAGCTACAGGGAGACCCTATAATAATTTCAAAAAATAAAGTATGTGTCTATATACACAGATTTTATACATATATATACACATTTAATAACAAAGAGCTAACGGATCACCAGCCATGAAAATTAACTCTGAAGATACTTAAAGGTTTTCTAAGAACTTTTTTTTTTTTTTTTTTGGTCTTTTTGAGACAGGGTCTCCCTAAAGCCCCAGCTGTCCCGGAACTCACTATGTAGACCAGGCTGGCCTTGAACTCAGAGATCCGCCTGCCTCTGCCTTCCAAGTGCTGGGATTAAAGGCATGTGCCACCACGCCCGGCTATAAGAACTTTTTTGAGGTGGAAAAAGTTATAAATGCTTTGTAGTCTTTGAGGGATAACAGTTAAATAATGAAATTAATACTAAGCTAATGAGAAGGCTGTATAATTTTTTTAAAAAAAAGGATGAGGGGCTGGAGAGATGGCTCAGCAGTTAAGAACACCGACTGCTCTTGCAGAGGACCCAGGTTCGATTCTCAGCACCCACATGGCGGCTACAAACCATCCTTAACTCCAGTTCCAGGGGAATCCGAAGCCCTCTTCTGACCTCCGTGTCAGCTAAGAGCTGTCTGTAACTCCAGTTCCAGGGGATCTGACGGCCTCTTCTGTCCTTGTGGGCATTGCACGACACAGGTGCACTTAAACCTATGTGCAGGCAATACACTCATACACATAAAATAAAAATAATAAATTTAAAAAATAAAATTTAAAAAAGGATGAACCAGGTGTGGTGGTGCACGCCCTTAGTCCCAGCACCTGGGGAGAGGCAAGGGGATCTCTGAGTTTGAGGCCAGCCTGGACTACATAGTGAGATCCAGTCCAGATGGGGATACAGGCTAAAAAAAAAAAAAAAAAAAAAAAAAAAAAAAAGAAAGAAAAGAAAAAAGGATGTACACAGTAAGCACAGTAAGAGGGGAAATAAGAAAATATTCCAACATACATGGGTAGTAGAAATTCATCAAAACTATGATGACAAACACTCAGGCATCTGAAAAGATGCCCAACCTCTGTAACAATGGAAAGAAGTGCATCTGAATCTGATAAAGTCTGACAGACGCTGCATTTAAAGGGGAATCAACAGAGCTCTATGGAGGGCTCACGCCTAGAAACTGTTTTCACAGCATGAATTTAAACACTGCATCTTTTTCTCCTGCTTCTCCCTTTGTGATGTTTCTCTCATTTTATATCAATCTGACTCATGTACCTTACATTCTTTCAGAAACAAGATGGAGCTGCAAGAAAGATGCAGTGGGGAAGGAAGGACAGCAAGGAGGGCAGGTAAGTGGGTGAGAAGGCTGGAGAGGAAGAAAATGAAGACTGAGCAGAGGCGGCTACATCAGCTTCCAATGACAGAAGCTGGACCATGGTACTCACTGGAATCTCAGCACTGAGGAGGTGGAGACAGAAGGATCAGGGCTTTAAGGTCATTCTACTCTACACTGAGTTTGGGGCCAGCCTAGGCTGAGACTCTGCCTCTCCAAAAAAAAGAAAAGAAAAAAGATGAAATAATTTAATCTGGATATAAAATGTGTATTTCTAGATCAAAGGCTATAACACTGACAAATTAGATTTTCCAGATATGATACATCCCAACTTCACCGGCTGTTCCTGTTTTTTAAGTGCTCAGGATCCACTTTCTGCTCTCCAGATAGTCCTCTGCCACTGAGCTGTACCCAGGTTCCTACATGCTCTTTGGACATGACACTGACGTTCATCTCAAAGGGTAGGGCTTTATGTTGCCTCACCTTGAAGCTTTGAGAAACTGAGGATGCAGCTCAGTTACATCCTGTGTACTCGATGTGAGGTAGAATACTTCCCTAGCGCATGGGATTTTAAAAGTACAGCAGAATTACACTGTATGATTTCTAAGGCAGGTGCTGTGTCTTTTTAAAATGATTCTTTTGGGAAGCTTATTCTTGCAATCCACACATCAAGCTGCATGGAATGGGCCGAATTACAGGTATTTGGCTAAGCAGACAGCCATCTGCCCAAGCCTTACAGATGACTGGTGACCCAGACAACAGAGTGTAACTGCGTAAGAGATCTGAACAGACATCATGAAACTAAATCTCTCTACTATAGATGAGAATAATAAGTATTATTAAAAACCATAATGAACATGAAAAAAAATCAGTTTGGGATGATTTGTCATGTAACAATAGAAAAATAGAACAAATATAAACTTAATTTTGGAACTGGATATGTATCTCAGTGGCAGAATGTATGTACTGCATGTATAAAGCCCTGAGTTTAGAACCCAGGATCATACACATAAAAAATTATCTTATTTTTATTTTACGTGTATGCGTGTATTGCCTGTGTGTAGGTAAGTACACCTGTATCATGCAATGCCCACGGAGGACAGAAGAGGTTGTCAGATCCCCTGGAACTGGAGTTACGGACAGTTGTTAGCTGCCATGAGGGTGCTGGGATTCAAACCTGGGTCTTCCGCAAGAACAGCCAGTGTTCTTAACCGCTGAGCCATCTCTTCGGCTCCCAAAAATATAATAATTTTAAAATTTTGAGACAAGGCTAGTCTCTAATGTGAAGCACAGGCTACCTCTGCAGTACTGGGATTAAAAGTGTGTGCCACCACACCTGGCTCTGTGCTATTTCTTGATCTGGGTGCTGATTACCAGATATGCTCACTTTCAAAGTATGCATTCTTCTGATATAGTTCAGTAAGATTTCTAATTTAGAAAAGTAATCCCAGCACTTGGGAGGCAGAGGCAGGCAGATCTGAGTCTGAGGCCAGCCTGGTCTACTAGTGAGTTCGAGGACAGCCTGGGCTACAGGGAGACCCTGTCTCAAAAAAAAAATAGTAATTCATATTGTAAAATACTATCTCCAAGTACTGTTCTACAACGAACATATTATAAACTGAAAAGACTAAGTACAAGAACATTTTTTTCTCCTTTGAGACCAGGTCCCATATCCTAGGCTGACCTCAAACTTACAATGGAGTCCAGGATGACTTTGATCTTCTTGGCTTATGCAGTGCTGAGGATCAAATCCAGGGCTTCCTGACTGTAAGCATTCTAGCAATGAAGCTACGTCTCTGGCCTTTGGCTGTTGTTTGAGAGGGTTGCATGCATCCCAGGCTGGCTTTAAACTCACTCTGTAGCTGAGGATGATTCCTGATCCTCCTGTCTCCCTCCCATTCAAGTTTTGGAATAACAAGTGTTTGACACCATGCCTTCCCCTCCCCTACCAACTGAGTTTCTTTTTAAAATTCTATTTATTACTTTTTTTTTTTTTTTTTTTGGTCTTTTTGAGACAGGGTCTCCCTGTAGCCCCAGCTGTCCTGGAACTCACTATATAAACCAGGCTGGCCTTGAACTCAGAGATCCGCCTGCCTCTGCCTCCCGAGTGCTGGGATTAAAGGCATGTGCCACCACACCCAGCTAATGTTCTATTTATTACTTTTTGTATTCTTGTTTATATGAGTGTCTCAACTGCATGTATATAAACACCACATGCATGCAATGCCCCCAGAGGGCACTGGATTCCATGGAACTGGAGTTATGGATAGCTATTAGCTGCCATGTGGGCGCTGGGAATTGAACCCAGGTCCTCTGCAAGAGCAGCCAATACTCTAAACACTGAGCCATCTCTCCAGCTCACTTTATTTACTCAGATGTACAAACTGTGGAATGTTAAATAGGAACTACACCAACTCAAAATCACAGAACACATCGATATTAAAGAGTCATGCAATCAAATCTCAACCTAAAACTTTTGGCCACAACTTACATAGAATAGCCATGTAGCAATTCTGTTTCCTGTCCCAAGTTCTCTGAACGCATCTGGCTCATCTTTCTGTGAATAAAACAATGAATTTAATGGTACAGAATTCAGCAATATAAATACTCCAGTGACAACTAAACACCAGTAGTGAGTTAAAGAACATGCCAAAAATAACCCTAAACTGTTCATGTGGGCCAGTGTGCCATGTACACACTAGTTGTTTAAGAGCTTGCTGATTCAGCTTACACACTAGATAACTTTGGCAAAATAATTGGAGAAAACAAATACCCAATTGTCAGCCTAAATGAAAGCCAATGTCAATTAACCATGAAATATTTAAAAAAATCAACACCTACAAGTTTAGTGTCTGAAAGAAATGACACAAAAGTCTCATCCTGGCTACATTCATACGGCCGGTTCTCTGTGGACCAAAATTCACGCTAAGATTTACTTTCAACCCACTCACCTATTTATCACCATTATCCTTTCTTCTGGACAGTGAACATATTAATTAGGCTTAGAGGTTTCATAGCTAACTTAAAAATAGTCTTTCAGTATTTATCCCAGGAAAAAAAAATGGCATTGATACAACTTGGATAAATCTCAGAGGAATTATACTGAGTGAATAAAATCTTAAAAGCGCCGGGCGTAGTGGCACACACCTGTAGTACCAGCACTCGGGAGGCAGAGGCAAGCAGATCTCTGTGAGTTCAAGGCCAGCCTGGTCTACATAGTGAGTTCCAGGACAGCTGGGGCTACAGGGAGACCCTGTCTCAAAAAGACCAAAAACAAAAAAATCTTAAAAGTATATAAATGTATGGTTCCATTTAATGACATGAATGAATGAACCAATAATACATTCTCCTGTGTAACTGTTATTAGCAATTAGGGATGGGAGGAGGAAGGGTAGCTGTAGTTACAGGCAATAACGTGCCCTGATTATGGTAGGAATTACAAACAGCTACTCATGTGGTAAAGTGCAGAGCCATACATAGAAACAAACAGACAGGACTGTGAAGTTAGAATGAGCTCTGTGAATGTGCCAATGCCACATTCCCAATTCTTACAGTATTACACAGAAGATACAAAAGCATTAACACAGGGGAAGATGGGGGAAGGGTACAAGGGAATGCCCTATACCTTTATTTGCCGCTTCATAGGAATCAATACTCTCATAAGCTAAAATACAATTTAAAAAAAATATTTTTATATGTATGAGTGCATTGTCTGCAGGCATGTAAGTATACTCTTGTCATGCAATGCACATGGAAGTCAGAGAAGGCATTGGATTCCCCCTGGAACTGGAGTTACAGACTATTATTAATCACCATGTGGGTGCTGAGAATCAAACCTGGGTCCTTTCCAGAAGCACCCAGTGCTCTTAATTACTGAACCAACTCTCTAGTGCCCTGTTTAGTATTCTAATGTTAGGCTTTAACTGTACAGTCTTTTATATTACCAGGAACCGTGACATGTTTTTCAATATCAGGAAATACGAGACTGAAAGTATACTGTTTGCAGAATTTCACAGAAATACAGACTGCTTCTTTCAAAAGAATCTACCCTTTAATAAGGATGAAAAGTAAAGATCTCTAGAAATACACTGCACATCATTAAAACTTCAGACTTAAGATTTAGTAATGATGCTCTTCATAGCTGAATATTAAAGGGAGCTAAAAGTCTCAAACCAAGACTACTCAGCAAGCAGCACTTTCAAACTGCTGCAGTACCCAACATCCTACAAGCTTCCTATTCTCCAGCCTGTTTACATTATGGGTTTGTTTTTGCCTCTCTCTCAAAGTAACAAAAGCAGTCTGGCTTTCTTCCCCATGCTCTCTCAAACTCCTGGACTCTCAGGATTCTTGATTCTCTCAATGCAGTCTTTCTTACAATTGCTTCATATCATTGGTGTTTAGTTCCCCTGTATAGAAGCTTTTTTTGGGGGGGGGGTCTTTTTGGTCTTCCTGTACCTCCAGCTGACCTAGAACTTGCTATGTAGACCACACTGCCTTTGAACTGAAGAGATTCAACTGCCTCTGCCTCCTGAGGGCTGGGACTAAAGGTGTGCACCACCAGGCCTGGCTCTAGAACCTTTTTTAACCTTACAGATTATCTTTTTCTATCTAGAACTTACCTTTGCTTATCTTTCACATATACCAAATCTTTGTCATTCTTTAAATTTTTTTAAGATTATGTGCCTTCTTTAAGAAGAGTACATATAAATCTGTTGTTTGCTTCAGTCTTTTCAGCAGTACCTCATCAGTTACTGATTTTAAGTCCCAAAGCATTTTCTTAATGTGTACAAGTGTTTTGCCTGTATGTAAGTGCAATGTCCATGAAGGCCAGAAGAGAGTATTGGATCCCCTGGAACTGGAGCTATGGATGGGTTTTAGCTGTCATGTGGGTGCTGAGCACTGAACCTGAGTCCTCTGCAAGAGCAGCTAGTGTTCTTAAACTGCTGAACCATCTTTCCAGCTCTGGTAGAAGAATCTTAATGGCTACCACTGAGAAGAAGTCTATATTTAGTTGAGGTGCTAGACTGAAGATCTGATCTCCAGAGAGAATACAAGTTTGTTTCTGCCAAATTAAGGAACATTCTCAAACTGAACTTTAATTTCTTCTCTTTTACAATAGTAAAAAAATTCAAATCCAATTCATATGAGGGTAAGCCTATACTTTCCCCAGAAAACAGATGTTGTAAACCCATTCTTTTTTTTTTTGGTCTTTTGAGACAGGGTCTCCTTGTAGCCCCAGCTGTCCTGGAACTCACTATGTAGACCAGGCTGGCCTCAAACTCAAAGAGATCCACCTGCCTCTGCCTCCCAAGTGCTGGGATTAAAGGCATGCGCTACCACGCGTGGCCCAAAAACCCATTCTATTCTTAACTGAAGGTGTAATCCTACTAGAGAGCTAGGTATTACACATGGGTCTCAGGCTCAGCAGTGAACATATGTGGCATGTCAGCTCAGAGCTGGTAATCCAGAGCTCTAGGCTCCACAGGTATTGCCTTCATGTCTATTTTACTGCCCCCACTCAACTGCCAGGTCTCTAGAGTCTTTGTTCAACGTGCCTGGAGGGAATAACATCTACATTCTTCCAGCCTCACCAACACAGTTAAAATTTGTCTTAAATAACTTTTTCCTGAGTACTTGTATTTAAACTGCTAAAAAGGACCAGGCATGGTGGTGCATACCTTTAATCCCAGCACTTGGGAGGCAGAGGCAGGCGGATCTCTGCGAGTTCAAGTCCAGCCTGGTCTACATAGTGAGTTCTAGGCCAGCTGGGGCTACAGTGAGACCCTGTCTCAAAAAGACCCTCCTGCCCCAAAAATTAATAAACTACTAAAAAGGCTTGAATATCTACTACCACAAATTCCAAGCAGGCAATGATGTTTAAACTAAATCAGAATCAACGTATCACTAAAGATTCTACTGACTGCTCTTGCAGAGGACCCGGGTTCGATTCCCAGCACCCACATAGCGGCTACGAACCGTCTTTAACTCCAGTTCCAGGGGAATCTGAAGCCCTCTTCTGACCTCCACAGCATTGCACAACACAGGTGCACTCACATGCAGGCAATACACTCATACACATAAAATTAAAAAAAAATTTAAAAAATTTTTTAAGTTTCTTCTTTAACCACACAATGCCGACACCTTAGTGGATTTACTTACGTTTCTCTTTCTTTTACCTACCCTTGCAAAGTCAAAATGGGGTTCATATTGTCCTCCAACTCCATAATTCGCTACCTGAAGGAAAGAAACAAAGCGTGAATAAAAACTATTAAGATTTCACTCAAGGGCTCAGTGGTGGTGTTTGCATAGATACTCAAAATTGTCAAGACTGCTTAAATGTTTAGGTAGTTTTTTTTTTTTTAGTTTTTATTTTTATTTTATGTGTATGTGTATATTGCCTGCATGTAGGTAAGTGTAGCCGTGTTGTGCAATGCCTGTGGAGGTCAGAAGAGGCTGTCAGATCCCCTGGGACTGGAGTTGTGGACAGCTGTTAGCTGCCATGTGGGTGCTGGGATTCGAACCCTGTCTTCTGCAAGAACAACCAGTGCTCTTAACTGCTGAGCCATCTCTCCAGCCCTTAGGTAGTTTTTTAAAGGGCATAGAGGGGTATTTAAAAATCAATGAGCATTATTATGAAAACAGTATTGAAAAAAATTAAGGATTCCTACTAGGGTGCAATTTTGAAACCATAGTTAATGCATGTTTCTATAACAAATATTTGGAGGATGTTTTCCCCTAATACATAACTTTAATATTTTGAAATTTTTATTTTTCAAAAATACTTCCCTTTTAGTTGGGGTTGAAGGGTGACTATATAAAAAATACATTGTATCCATGTGCGAAATTCTCAAAGAATTAAAATATTAAAGACTACTTCCCCTTGAAATTTAAATACAAAAACTTCCCCAAAGCCCCAAATATTGGCAAATTCCCAATACATATTTTTAAAATATTTTTATTTTATGAGTGTATTGCCTGCATGTATGTGAGTACACCATGTTGTGCAGTGCTGCGGAGGTCAGAAGAGGGCTTTGGATTCCCCTGGACAAGGGGACAGTTCATAGCTGCCATGTGGGTGCTGGGAATTGAACCCAGGTCCTCTGTAAGAGCAGTCAGTGCTCTTAACTGCTGAGCCATCTCTCCAGCCCCCCCCCAATACGCTTTTTAATTTTATATGTATGAGCATATGCATGTATGTAAGTGCACCCATGTCATGTGATACCCACAGAAGCCAAAAGAGGGGGTCAGATTCCTCTGGTACTGGAGTTACGAACAGTTGTGAGAGCAGCCAGTGCTCTTAACCGCTGAGCCATCTTGCCAGCCCCCACCCAATACACTTTAATAAAATAAACTTTACACATTTTTTTCTCTGCTAAGGTTAAAAGGGGGAAGAGGTCCACACCACCTTCAGTCAGTTAGGATGAAGCCCCAATGAAGCGGGGTACTGGTAGCTGGCCCTAATCCATATTCCAGTCTCTGTTACAATGTAACTTAGGACATGATACACTTTCTCATTTGTAAAATCAGGAGAGCAATAGTGTAAGTCCTACTCTCCATCACAAAGTAAAATGCCCAGAAAATGAAGATAATTAAGAGCACTACCCTCAGCAAAGTGCAAGTCATTTGCTCATTACACTGAGTATTTTATGTCATAGAAACAACTGAATCTGTTAAGTAGAAATGATCAATTCTCCTGAAGGTTGAAAAAGGTTAGAAAAAGACAAAGTGTTTAATAATAATCAGATGAATACATAGGAAGTTATAAATTACCATAGACAGTACATCTATAGACAGTCCTGTGTCATAGTGTTCACACATCTCAGTTACTGTGGTTCAGTTGTTAGTATAGTCCCTTAACAGATCAAAGATCAGTAGCTTTATTAGCTGTATGGCATAAAGCATGAAACGTGCTACTTCATTCCAAGTCCTGTATAATAGCAGCTGCACACCATGACTGATCCTGTCACCTCTGTCAAAGGCCATCAGAGCCCTCAGTGTGCAGCTGTACAAAGAACAACACATGCAGCTGAGCCACCTCGTCTCCTAGTGTCTAGAACAGATGACTGTCCAATCCAGAAATGGAAAAGAATGAGGATGTAAAATTCAGATCCTGTGAGAATGAAGTAGAGAAGCCGCTAACAGGACACCTGTTCATTCTTGCTGCTGAGAGCCTAGGTGAGCAGCATGGGAAATTTCATGATGGTATTTATGAGAAAGAAGAGAGTGTCTGGGAAAAGTAACAACAGAAGACCTCAGAGGTATTTCACAACACTGAAAGCATAAAGAAAAAAAATGTTGGCGGTGAATCCAAACAAAGAAGTGTGATGTAAGTCACAGAAACACCACTCTGAAGCAGTGTCAAGGAAAAAGGACCTACTATTGGCATTTTTGTTTTTGATTTTTTTAACAAAGAAACACTTTAGTTTTCAGTATCTCTAATGTTTTATTAAAACAATGGACAAGTGCCGGGCATGGTGGTGCACGCCTTTGATCCTAGCACTCAGGAGGCAGGCGAATCTCTGTGAGTTCAAGGCCAGCCTGGTCTACGTAGTGAGTTTCAAGCCAGCTGGGGCTATGGGGAGACACTGTCTCAAAAAGACCAGGAAAAAAAAAAAAAAATGGACAAGTGAAATTACTAAGACAATTCAATAAAAAAATAAGTCTTTCCAGCAAACGTGCACAACAGACATTCACATGAAAATAATGGCATTCTACCCCCACCCTACAATACTATATACAAAACCAAAATGGACCTAAGGCTTGAATGTAAGAGGGAAAGGGTAGAGCACATGTGATTAGCATATTTGAGACCTCAGGTTTAACCCTTAGTGCACTGGGGAAGAACAAACTAAAACTATTAATATTAGAGGAAAACTCAAGTATGTGACCTTGAATTACGTAACTTTAGACACCTAAACATACCAGCAACAAAAAATAACAAACTGCATCAAAATTTAAAACTTTTGAACTGGGCTGGAGTGATGGTTCAGCAGTTGAGAGCACCGGCTGCTCTTGCAAAGAACCTGGGTTCGATTCGCAGCACCCACATGGCAACTAACAACCATCAGTAACTCCAGTTCTAGGGGAACTGATGTCCTCTTCTGTCCTCCATGGGTATTGCAGGACATGGGTGCACTTACATGCAGGCAACACACTCATACACATAAAATAAAAATATTTTAAAAAAAAAACAAAACCTTTTGAACTAAGAAAATGGTTCAGTTGGTAAGAGTGCTGCTGTCAGGCATAAGTTCTTTAGGTTAGATTTGAACCCACTTAAAGGTGGGGCACAGCCATGCACACCTGTAACTCCAGTACTGGGATGGTGGTGGGGGAGGCTGCAGCAGAGACAGAAGGATTGCCAGCTTACTGGCCAGCCGACCTGCCAAGTCAGTGACCTCCAGGTTCAGTGGGACTGTCTCAAGGGAGCAAGGCATAGACTAATGCAGCAGGATGCCCAACATCTTCCTCTGGCCTCCATGTGGAGCACGCACACACATATACACACAAATTAAAAACTTGTGCCAATGGAAATTGTCAGGAAAGTGAAAAGATAAGTCACAAGATGGGACTAAATATTTGCAAGTCATATAGATAAAGGTCTAGTATCTAGAACATAGAAGGAACACAAGTTAAGACAGATACTCAATTTGAAAATGGGCAACTTCTTTCATAAAAGATACAGAAAGAGCAGTAAGCACATGAAAGATGTTCAGTAGCACTAGTTGTACAAAACCATGAGAAAACCATGAGAGCCCAGAGCAGATTCAGGCTTGCTGTACTAGAACTGGAAAATACAGATGTTGTCAATGAAGGAAGGAAAGTGGAGCCCTCACCGACTCCTGGTGCAACCACTTAGGAAAACAGTCTGAGAGTTCTTCAAATGTTAAGTGTAGGGTTACCATGTGATTCCACTCACCCACAGGATCTCCCCATGACTGTTCCCACAAAAACTTGTATATAAATGTTCACAGCAGAATTAGTCCTGGCATCCAAAAAGTAGACACAGATGTTCATCAATCAGTATGCAGACACAAAGCATGTTTCCATGAAGTGGAATATTATGCCATTAAAAAGGAATAAAGTACTGACACATGCTCTAACCTGAATAAACCTTGAAAACATAATGCTTAAAGAACAAAGCCAGATACAAAAAGTTACAAGTGAAATAATCCCACATATATAAAATATTCAGAATAAGTAAATTCACAGAGAGACAAAGTAGTCCAGCAGTTCCCAAGGACTTGGGGAAGAAGAATAGGGAGCTACTGCTTAAAGGGGATAGATGGTTTCTTCTTAGAAAAGTTTTGAAATTAAATCATGAAAATGGTTTCACAACCAGCTAAATATACCTAAACCAAGGTAAAACAGTATGCTAATTATATCTCAATTTAAAAAATATTTTTTGAAATATTTATTTTTTGTGTAAGTGTATTGCCTGCACGTATGTAAGTGTACCTGTGTTGTGCAATACTCATGGAGGTCAGAAGAGAGTGTCAGTTCCCCTGGAACTGGAACTAGGGACAGCTGTTAGCCACCATTTAGGTGCTAGAAGATGAACCCAGTTCCTCTGCAAGAGCAGCCAGTGCTCTTAACTGAGTCATCTCTCCAGTCCCTGAAAGAATATTTTTAAGGGCTGGGCATGGTGGGGCATGCCTTTAATCCCAACAGAGGCAGGTGGATCTCTGTGAGTTCAAGGCCAGCCTAGTCTACATAGTGAGTTCCAGAAAAGATCCAAGTGGTAGGAAAGAACTGATTACTGCAAATCGTCCTATGACCTCAACTCAGGCTCCACTGGCTGCACACATGCACATAATAATGAATAAAATATACTTTAAAATCAAAGTACACTTAATAAAAGTATTAATAAAGGTTAGTATTATGCATTTTTCATATCCTTATTCATTAATACTTGAGTCATGCTCTGACAGAACATTTTAAGTCAAATACTTACAAATGATTATTAAATTATTATGGCACCTACCCCCCCACCTTTTTACAAAGTCTCCAAATATTGTGCAAGTCAAGCACTGCCTATTCAGTATTAGGAAATCTCAACTGAAGCACCTCTTGAAGACATGGAAAATAACTTGAAGATCATATGGTTACTTACCTGCAATTCCTCTGCTGTGGAAACATCTAACCCTGTTAGATCTTGTATTCGCATATTGATTCGAGACACCACAGGGTCTTCATAGCCAGACAACCAGGCACTAGGACAAGAAAATATTAGTTTTACTGATACTATTTCATTAGACAAAACTCAATACTTTCTGTTTTTAAAGCAATACAGAGGACAGTAGATTTCTTTAATGTAGTGCTGGGAATCAGAACCAGGGTGTGTGCATGGTAGGCTAGTGGTCTACCACTGAGCTACATTCTCAGCCCTTGGTTTTCTGACAGTCGCACCATGTAGCTCAGACTGGCCTAATTCAACATTCTCGTACTTCAGCCTCCTGAGTGCTAGGGTTATCAGTGTACACCACCATACCCAGCCAGGACAATACCTTTTTGGTTGATTTGCTTATTTGACAAAAAAAAAAATTTTTTGTTGGTCTTTTTGAGACAGGGTCTCCCTGTAGCCCCAGCTGTTCTAGAACTCACTATGCAGACCAGGCTGGCCTTGAACTCACAGAGATACACCTGCCTCTGCCTCCCGAGTGTTGGGATTAAAGGTGTGTGCCACCATGCCCGGCTTGACAAAATTTTTACTAATTAATACTGTAATTCTTTAAAGATGACATATTCTGGGGCTGGAGAGATGGCTCAGCAGTTAAGAACACTGTTCTTGCAGAAGACCCAGGTTCAAATCCCAGTACCCACACAGCAGCTAACAACTGTCCATAACTCCAGTTTCAGGGGATCCGACAGCCTCTTCTGCCCTCTGTGCACGACATGGGTGCATTTACCTACATGTAGGCATAACACTCATACACATAAAATAAGAATAAAATATTTTTTTAAAAAAGATGACGTGTTCTACAGTTATATATTAGAAAAAAAGAAAAAAAAAAAAAAACAACGAGGACCAAAGAGATGGCTCAGTGGTTAAGAGCACTGGTTGCTCTTACAGAGGACCCAGGTTCAATCCCCAGAACCCACATAGCGGCTAACAACTGTCTGTAACTCCAGTTCCAGGGCAATCTGATGCCTTCTTCTGACTGCACTGCATGACATGGGTGCACTTACATGCACGCAATACACTCATATACACATAAAAGTAATAAAATATTTTTAAAAACCCTCCACTACTGTATTGTTTCTATGAGAACTGCTAGATTAATGGAAGAACTATTACTATGTATTACTTATACTGAATACCTCCCTCCTGACCTCACTCCCTTTCTTGCTCTCTTTTGAAATGAATCTCCATTTGTTCCCTGGGCTCAAATAGTCCTATTCTCTCAGCCTCCTGAGTCGCCAAAACTATGGCACAAACCACACCTGATTTACACTAAAGTTCTATAAAAGTGCCTAAACTTATCCATTCAGATGATTATAATAAAGATGTACAGAAATTGGAACTCCCACACATGTGAAATGGTGCAGGCATTGTGGAAAACAGCTTAGCACTTTAACAGCCAAAAAGGGACATGTGCTGGATAGCTTTAGTGTCAACTTGACTCACCTGGGTGAGGGAGCCTCAACTGGGGAATTGCCTTCATTGGACTGGCCTGTGGCCATGTCCATGGGGCACCTTCTTGATTGTTGAGTGATGTGGGAGAGCCCGGCCCACGGTGAGTGGTGCCACCCCTGGGCAGGTGGGCCTGTGTTACATAAGAAAGCAGGCTGAGCAGGGGCCAGGGGAGCAAGTCAGTAAGCAGTGATCCTCCATGGCCTGTGCTCCAGCTCCTGCCTCCAGGTTCTTGCCCTGAGTTGTTCCATGGCCTGCACTCCAGCTCCTTACTACAGGCTCCTGCCCTGAGTTCCTACCTTGGGCTCCCTGATGAACTGTGACCTGGGAGATTTAAGACAAATAAACCCTTTCCTCCCCAAGTTGGTATTGGTCAGAGTATTTTGTCACAGCAATAGAGAAACAAACTAAGACAGGACAACACCACAAATGTCCAAGCACTTTATGAACAGACCCATTACATATATCCAGAAAGTTATTGTGGCATAAAAAGGAATAAAGTATGGATATACACTATAACATAGAACTTTAAAAACATGCTAAGTAGGGGCCGGGCGTGGTGGCACATGCCTTTAATCCCAGCACTTGGGAGGCAGATCTCTGAGAGTTCGAGGCCAGCCTGGTCTACATAGTGAGTTCCAGGTCAGCTGGGGCTACAGGGAGACCCTGTCTCAAAGAAGAGCAAAAAGAGAAAGAGGAATCATGGTGTTTAGTAGATGTTACTAAATAAAAAACTTTTAGAACCAAAAAACTATAGTTGAGCAAATGACAAGGATTTAGAACCATTGAAAAATATACTTTAGGAAAGTTGCCTATAATTTAGGCACTTGGGAAGCTGAAGTAAGAGGATTGAGAGTTTGGAGCTACCCTGAGCTACAAAGGTATACCCTGTCTGAAAAAACAAAACTTACAAAAAAAAAAAAAAAAAAAAAGTGGGGCATGGTGGTACACACCTTTAATCCCAGTACTCAGGAGGCAGAGGCAAGCAGATCTCTGTGAGTTTGATGCCAGCCTGGTCTACACAGCGTGTTCCAGGCCAGTTGGGGCTACAGGGAGACCATGTCTCAAAAAGACCGCCCCCTCCCCCCAAAAAAAGTAAAAAATAAAGAGTAAATTTCATGGTTTGGGAGCTGCATTCCAACTTTTAAAGGGACCCCAGTGTAAGGTCAGCTCTACCACTCCTAGTGTAGACCTGAGGGGATCGGAGTCATGTGTACAACAGAGAAGCACACCAGTGTTTGTCATGACCCTATGCACAAAAGCCAAGTTACAGAATCAGTCTAGTTACCATTAATGGATGAATGAATAAAAAAAGTGGCATATATCCACAATGGAGTTTAATTCAGTCCTTAAGAAGAATGAAATCGTCATTTGCAAAGAAGTAGATGAAACGAAAATGATGCTAAGCCAAATACACCAGATTCATAGATATTGCACGCTTCCTCTTTCGTGGGGAATCTAGATTTCAGAAAGACATTAAAGTAGGAAGATTACTTGGGAAAGGGAAGGGACAGGAGACAAAGAGGGCACCGGAGAACACAATCAGAGTATGGTATATATGTTATAAAAATGTTACCATAAAATCTCATTTTATATAATGAATATACTAATAATGAAAGAAAGGAATCCTTCTAAAGGCTGGAGAGGATGCTGTTTGCTGAAAACTATGGTGACTTTAAGTCATCATGTTACTCTTACAGTACACTCGCCACCTCAGCTACATGCATGGCCAAGTCTTTGGCAGCACTACTCTCTAGATAATGTAACGTCTGTCAGAAACTGGGTACTGCGGAACACCCACTGCCACCTTTTGATCACTCACTCTCTACTGCCCTCTGTAGAATGGCCGAAGAATTTGTGCCTCTGCACTCCCTGAAGCATAGATTTGTTCCAACCTCTCATTTCCTGAATGCTCTAGCCACATCTGTTTAGTTGTGAATGCCATCCCCTCATTCCCCCATCCCTTTCTCCTGCCCCCATTTAACCCTGAAACTGTTTCAGCATTTTTTGATCCTGAGATATCTGCTAACACACAAGACCTACCACAATGTGGTTCATCCTTAGCAGGTCAGCTGCCCCATAGTCAGGCTGCCAAGGCATCAGAAAAGCCAACTTGGCTGGAGCCCACTTTGTCCTATTTCCTCAATGAACCTGGCACACCTCTCCTTTCCAATAGGGAAGTACTTTTGTCTGCAAATACTCGTAACATTTTTTGGCACAAGGAAGTAAGATGTTCTTTCTGGCTGAAATCATACTTCTGACATATCTGATATATAACTATAGTGACTTCAGTGAGCACCCGCAGCATGCTACTTAAAGGAAACTAGCTTAGTAGTCAGAAGAGAGGGTGGTTTAAACACCCAAAAGGAAAGTATAACCAAAGATTAAAGGGGTCAATATTATTTTAAGAGTCCATATGTATAGCTAAAGGCTACATAATAAGAAACAATGCCAGACAGGAGATACCTTCCTTTGAGTTATTGGCCAGGATGGTCCAAGAGACTCCCAGACAGTAACGCAGCATAGAACTGGGAAAATGAACGGCAGAACGAATCTTATCTAAAGGAATATTGACAACTGACTGCTGCTAGATGAAGAACAGCTGATCTTCCTAAAACAAGGATCTCTAGATAGGCTGACTAGATTCAGGAGGCAGACAAGCAGTGGGGAATGGCTGGGGGTCCGGACAACACAGTGGAAAGTAACAGGGATCACAGAGTATATGGGCTCCAGTGTGTGGGAGGAGGGAGGCTATAGGAGGGTGCCATTTGGGAAGTGGGTATACAGGTGAGTAAGATTGTGTGGATATTCTGTATCTCACACATACATACACACACATACACACACACACACACACACACACACACACATATCAACGAATTTTTTTAAAAGGCTTATATTTGAGGGGAAAAAAAGAGAATCCAATGATGTCCTGGGATGGATATTCCTTCATCAAGTTCAATTTATACATAGAGAAAACTTTCAAAAAGGTTATCTAAGACACTTCATTCATGACATTTTGTTTTCAATCCTTCCTAGAAGCATTCAAATCAGGGCAACTTGAATACCTGCTAGCTTTATGACAGGAAAAATATCTAAAGCTATGTATAAGTCTCTGAAATATGTAAACAGTTTTATGTGGAGTGTTTTGAGACAGTCTATGTATACCAGACTGATTTCAAATTCATACTGATTCCTCGGCCTCCACCTCGTGAGTTCTAGAATTATGGGATGCACAACCAAGTGGGCCGAAGAAGTTCATTTTACAGAAATCATTAGGGTTCATAGCAGAATGCAAAACTAGTTTAGGCTTAACTTGAAATTAAGACTAATTACAATGCTCAGAGCATAATAAATCATGTCTCAGCACATATTCACTCAAACTCACTTCTGTGAATTCTTACCACCTATTAGGGTTCCTTAAAGTAACTGCTTTGATGATTAAGTCAAAATGACACTACAGCAAATTTTAATTTATGTATGTCTTTAGGGTAAGGTTCAGGACCCTTAACTCCTAAATATGGCACATTGGTAGCTGAAGAAATGGCAGAAGCAGGACGTCTTTCTAAACCCCTGCTCCTCTCAGGAAGCAGGACACAGGAAAAATCTGACCTACCTCTCAATCATGAAGACCTACATTCCAGAGCTATCCCTTGAGACCTGAGCAGACATGCCAAAAACTACCTAGCAAGAGGACCCAGCTAACTTCCCTCCAGTTTGCTACTGTTATATCACACCACCTTTACCCAACTGTTCTGAAGGACTGTAGGCTCTATAAAAATATACAGGTTTCTGTTTCTTTGGTCTTCATTTCTGAAGGTCTTGAGTCATGAAAGTTTATATTAAATAAATCTGTATACTTATATCTCTTGGCCATCTAGCTTTTGTGAGAGAGGTCTCGGCCATGATCCTGGAAAACCCTCTTTTCTTCTTGGCACAAGAGCCAAGTAGGGGTATAGGGAAGAAACAGAATGCCAGAATATGTATATGGCATCTACGATTAAGGTTAACATATGAAGGGCATATTACTTTGCCTACAAGAGTACGGCAATGCCAAACCAATTCATTCTATTTAGCCTCTTCAGTACTTTAGCTAGGATGGTAATAATCTTTGATTTTTTTTTTTTTTCAGTGCACCCAAAATACTTGTTTTTTAAAAAAAAAAATCTTTAGCCAGGCGTGGGGATGCACGCCTTTGATCCCAGCACTCAGGAGGCAGAAGCAGGTGGATCTCTGTGAGTTCAAGGCCAGCCTGGTCTACATAGTGAGTTCCAGGACAGCTGGGGCTATTGGGAGACCCTGTCTCAAAAAAACCAAAAAAAAAAAAAAAATCTTTGTATTTCTTCATACCTTTTTAAAAAAATATTTTATTTATTATTTTTATTTTATGTGTATGAGTATATTGCCTCCATGTATGTTAGTGCACCTGTGTCATACAATGCCAAGGAGGTCAGAAGAGGGCTTCATATTTCCCTGGAACTGAAGTTAAGGACAGTTCGTAGCTGCCATGTGGGTGCTGGGAATCAAACCCAGGTCCTCTGCAAGAGCAGTCAGTGCTCTTAACCGCTGAGCCATCTCTCCATTTTTTAGTTGATAACTACAACTTCCACCATAACTTTAATTCTGTTAAACTGGAAAGGTTGGTAATTTCCGGAAAATGATTACTCATCAATGTATTTAATATACTCTAAACACAATGATTTGATGCTCAGTATTATCTGCTTCAAAAACACATGAATAGGGAAAAGCAAAATGACTCAGTGGGTAAAGGGACTTGTAGTCAAGCCTGACATCATGACTTTGAGCCCCAGAGTAATATGATAGGAGAGAACTGACTCCCACCAAGTTATTCTATTTTTGTTTTTGTTTTGGAGACAGAATTTCACTATGTATCCCTGGCTGGCCCAAAATTCCCTAAATAAACCAAGCAGGCCTTGAATTCAGACACCTGCCTTCCTCTGATTCCCAAGTGCTGGGTATAAAGGTGTGTATATACCATCACGCCTAGCTTACAAGTTGCCCTCTGACCTATACACAAGCACTGCACTGTAGAATACACAGCATGTGCGAACACGTGCACGCGCACGCACGCACACACACACACACAAATAAAATGTTATTTTAAAAGACATTAGGGGGCTGGAGAGATGGCTCAGATGGCTCAAGAACACTGACTGTTCTTGCAGAATACCTGGGTTTGATTCCTAGCACCCACATGGCAGCTAACAAATGTCTGTAACTCCAGTTCCAGGAGATCCGACAGCCTCTTCTCTCCTCCGCAGGCACTGCATGACATGGGTGCACCTACCTACATGCAGGCACTACACTCATACACACAAAATAATAAAGTAATTATTAAAAAAAAAAAAAACTTGAGTGAAATGCTCATGAGTATAGAATCTTACATTACACCCCTATCTTGAACTGGCATTTTCATTCCGTTCCTGTCCTGGGTCAGTGGTTCTCAACAGAGGTAGAGGAATAAGAGTCTCTGGAGGTAGGAGTGGGAACTTCTCCTACCAGGGGTCACTGGGCATTTTAAAATTTCCCTAGCACCCTTCCCCAGTTACGCTACCTAGTGAGTGCCAGATGCTGTCAACCATGCTCAAAATAGCCCTCCACAATGAAAACTGAATGATCTGATTCAAAATGTTAATGGTCAGGCATGTTGACACAAACCAGAAAACAAAGGCTGAAGAGGATGAGGCAAGAGGGGTACAAGTTCAAGGCCAGTGTGAGCTACACCTTTGGCTGGGGATATAGCTCAATAGTAGAGTGCTATCATGCAAGAAGCCCTAAGTTCAACCTCCAGAACTAAAATAATTAATTAATTAATAAATAAGATGGCTCAGTGGTTAAGAGCAAATACCACTCTTCCAGAGGATCTGGGTTTAGTTCCCAGCACCCACATCAAGTGGATCACAAAGCTTGTAACTCCAACTCCAGGGATCCAACACTTTCACACGGCCTCCACAGGTACCTGTGTGAGTGCGTGCGCACCACACACACACACACACACACACACACACACACACACACACACACACACACACACACATACACACACACACAAAACGAAGAAGCTGGAGAGATGGTTCAGCAGTTAAGAGCACTGCCTGCTCCTGCAGAGGACTCAAGTTAGGTTCCCAGCACTCATATGGTAGCAACCAACTGTCCATAACTCTAGTTCCAGGGGAGCTGGTGCCCTTTTTTGGCCTTTGAAAGCACTGCACAAGTGCATTTACATACATGCAGGCAATACACTCATACACATAAAATAAAAATAATTTTTTAATGTAAAAACTAATAAACTACAAAGTTTTAATGTCAAAAATGTTAAAATTAAGAAATCTTATTCTAGTTGTATTTTTCTTTCTTTTTTTTTTTTTTTTTTTTCAGTTTTTTTGAAAAAGGGCCCCCCTTTAGCTTCAGCTCCCCGGGAACCCACTTTTTAGACAGGGCGGGCCTTGAACTCAGAGATCTGCCTGCCTCTGCCTCCCAAGTGCTGGGAATAAAGGTATGCACCACCACACCCAGCTCTAGTTGTATTTTTATATCTGCAAATACATTCATCACACTGCAGCTCTCTAAAATAGTTATTTATATAACTGACAAAATAAAAATTACCTGTAACACAAGACCTATGCTAAAAGCAGCACCTTTAATAAAATAATCTAAAAATACTAGGAAGAATACAGCCAACACTTCTTGTAATACTATTCCCAATGTTTTAGAAAATGGTGAAAATGCTTACACATAAAGTTTTAAGACCTGAAGGTAGTCCTAAAATAATAACCATGCATGGCATGCACAATAATCCAGCACTTGGGATTCGAGGAAGAAGGGCTTCATAGCAAGTTGAAAGTCAGTCTTGGTGACACGGTAAGAATTCATCTCAAAAAAAAAAAAAATCATTTATTTTTACCCTCAAAAATAAAGTTATGTGTCAAAAACTCATACTCATTTACTTCTGTAAATCTGAAAATAAAATCACCAGTGCTGTCACCAAGATCAGACATTACTATTTTTTAAAAAAACAAGTAACTCGGCCGGACATGGTGGCACATGTCTTTAACCCCAACACTTGGAAAGCAGAGGCAGGAGGATCTCTGTGAGTTCAAGGCCAGTTTGTCTACACAGTGCGTTTTCCAGGCCAGCTGAGGCTTCAGAGAGACCCTGTCTCAAAAAGACAAAAAAGCACCTTTAGGGCCAACAAGATAGGTAAGCAGGTAAAAGCACTTGCCACACAAGCCTAGCAACCTGAGTTCAATCTCTAGAATGCACATAAAATAAGCCAGATGTGGTGGTTCACATCTCTAATCACAGTACTCCTATGGTGAGATGGGAGCTGGACAGGAGAATCACCTGGAAGTTCAGGGGCCAGCTAGCCTGGAGCACACAACACAGCAGAAACAACAGAGACCCTGCCTCAACAAGGTGGAAGGAGAGAACCCATTCCTGAGAGTTGTCCTCTGACCTCCATGTGCATATACCCACAGTCACAAACAAGTCACACACGAGTTGTTCCAACTATTACTAGTACACATTAATCTAAGCAACTGATTAAGCAATCGCTATCAATACAAAAATGAATGAGGTTAGAGAGAAAACTCAGTGGTGAAGAAGATTGCTTGCTGCCCTTTCAGAGGACCCAAGTTCAGTTCCCAGTACCCACAGTAGGTAGCTACAACCACATGTAAGTATAGCTCAGCACAGGGTATCCAATGCCCTCTTTCTGTCCTCTACGGACACCCACACATGCATGTGGCATACACTCATATAAATACATATACATTAATATAAATTAATTAAAATATTTTAAATAGTCATAATGAAATGGATGAGACTTGTATTTTTTAAATAATTATTGCAAATAAACAAATACATAATTGTTATATCTGTGAATAAATAGGAATTAGGGTTAAAATAAAACAAAATTCAGTGCAATGACATTTCTTTTTTCACTGTATAAGAACTGAGAAACCTTTATCACATACTAAGTCAATGGAAAGAGTTCTGCTGCAATAATGTCTCTCAATTCTGTGAGCTCCGAATTACACACCTAAGTTGCACAATGACTATTTTTTAAAAATTCACTTAGTAACATGAATTTCTTTTTAAATGTTAAAAGCAAAGAGTTTGAAACTGACTCACAGAAGCTTCATTATAGTCAATCAAGGAATCTCTTCTACAATTTTTGGGTGATCTAAAGGCTTTTAAATCCTGCCTTAATGACAGAGTTGACACTAGGCCTTGCTATGTGAAGAGTCTGGGACGTTCTCCTCAGTATGAGAATACGACTTCACTTTATCAGTTAATATTTGGGCAATCTCAACAGGAAGTTTATAATCTAATAAATTACTCTGAAAAACATCTTATTAATTGCCCTATATCTGTTTATTAGTCATCATGAAAACCAAGCACAGATATTAAACACCTTCACCTAATATCTAGGTCTCAGAAACCTTATCATATAGTCTGTGAAAATTAGATTCTCAAGAAAGAATGATCCCAACATGGCTAAAGTTCTCTCCATTACTCCCTTACCTCTTAGATACTCTGTACTGTGCTGTGGTCAATTTTCCAGTCTCAGGGTCATGTACTGTAGCTCGGCTTAGCTACAAAAAGGAAAAAAAGAGAAAGGACAAGGACTTACACTCCAGTAGCAGGCAGTTTGGGATTTGGTTCACTTTGTTTTGTTTTGCCAAGCCACAGGTGATTGGAAGGATTCAGATTGGTCTGAATGGTAAGTAATGGTTTGAATCAGCGAAACATTTAGAAAGGTGGCGTGAAGAACAGCCACTTCTAAGTCAAGAGAAAATGAGCTGTCAGATTTTGATTGTAAATTTATTGTCCTTTCACTTTTTTAAAAATAAAAAACATATGAAGCTGTATGTAAAAGACTTATAGCTGTGGGTTTCACAGGAGTCTTCCCAGATCTAGAAGTTTAATATTCTTCAAATATTGTAAAAAAAAATTAAGTTTATAATCTTAAAGCTTTCATCAAGTTGAAACTGTCTTTCAGTCTTTCTGCAGAATTGAAGCCAACACAGTTCATCAGTAGTTTTGGAAGACTGAGCTCAGAAGCATAAATATTCTCTGCACAACCAACTTTGAGTTAGCAATCTTTTACTTTTTTCATCTTTTTTGAGATGGGGGGTCTCTCCTTGTAGCCTCAGCTGTCCCGGAACTCACTATGTAGACCAGGAACTCTGTGAACTCACAGAGATCTGCCTGCCTCTGCCTCCTGAGTGCTGGGATTAAAGGTGTGTGCCACCACACCCGGCAGCAATCTTTTACTTTTTTTAAATAAAATACATATGACTCCATAATGACAACGATATTCTATAGATGAAAGAGCAAATGCCGATATGTCCCCATGAAGATAATGGGAAACTGCAGCGCTCATGGATGTGAGAGAACAGAGGGAGCAAGACTACCTAAATGCTTCTGTTTCTTTAATTCCCATTTTCACAGCAAAAGGGGAAAGGAAAAGTATCAGGCAATTTCCCAGGTATTTAATACCTGAACTTAAAACACAAAGCACTTAATTCCTTAAACATAAAAGACCAATTTGAGATTAAAACAGAACTTCTAGTTAAAGGGAACAACTTGTGAAACACAGAGCAGTCTGTCCATGCGTCACTCTTTTTATGTATAAGGCGGCCACTTGAGCTGGAGACTGAACATAACTAGTTCCATAAATGAATAAAAATTCCTATAGGATGTTCAAAATACTCATTAGAGGGCAAAATATGCAGCAATATATCTCTTACCTTTTGCTAATTCTGTAATGTACCGTCTCCAAGTCTCCTGTTATTGGGTTTGAAATAGTGGCTCGCCTCAGCTGTGAAGCCAACCATCAAAATAGTTGCATTACAATTTAAAAAAAAAAAAAAAAAAAAAAAAAAAAAGAATCACACTTATCTAACCAGTCAGAACTCTGGGTTTCTTTTCCTTTTTTTTCTTTTTTTGAGACAGGGTCTCCTTGCCTGGAACTCACTATGTAGACAAGGCTGGCTTTGAACTCACAGAGATCCACCTGCCTCTGCCTCCTGAAGGCTGGGACTAGAGGTGTGCGTCACCACACCAAGCCTCTGGGTTTCTTTTTAAACAAAGGATGGTGTTTAGAGAAAATAACTCAATACCCTTCCAGTCACCTTGTGGTGAGCTTTTAAGCCTGTAAGTTTCTTTAGATTTATGTTTCTTAAAAACTACTTTACTTGCTTTTGTGTTGCATGAATAGACTCCACACAATCAAAAGAGATTGGAAATTAAATTTCTTCTTAGAGGATATGAAAGTGGGAATAAGAAAATTTTCTAAAATATGAAAAATTATTTGTAACTATAAGAATGGCTATTTGTAATTAATCATCTGCTCCCAAACCTCTGACTTTAATTTCAGTGGCAGAACTACTTGTAAAGGTTAGGATTGTCCAAAATTTGTTGTAAAGTCATTCTTTTCCCCCTTTAAAATAGTCAATCAGTGAAATAACCTTTCTGAGCAGAAAGGCAAATAAAAAGCTCTTAAATGTTAATGGTAGGAAAGGTGACAGGCAGGATAACCATGTCATGTATTTTTTTTTTTTTTAACATTGGGAGAATGATTCTGAAACAACAAAAGGTTAACTTTTATTGCTACTGAATTTCCTGATCAAAAATAAACCCAACTGAAGAATCTCCTTTGAAGACTAATAAATATTCTACTTACATATATTGGTCAACTGGGTTCTGACCACAAATAAAGGACTAAAATAGGAATTCAAAAGAAAATGATAAAATATGATTTTAAAAAGCATTCTACTTTGGCAGTAGATTTCTAAGAATTTCCTGAGACAGCACCCAAATGCACTAGGATCAGCCTTGGACCTTATACTGCGCAACTTTCTTTAAAAAAAAAACAAACAAAAACTGCCAATAAGGAAAAGTAGCAAAACTTTTAAAAATTCTAAGTTTATGTAAGTATAGATACCCAGATACACTTAGATACCCAGATTTTTCAAACTTGTATGATGTATCAGGGTCAGCAAACTCACAGGCCAAATTCAGTTGCCATAGTTTTTAGACACAAATTTCACTGGAACGTATCTACACTCATTCACTTATTTTCTTTGGTGGCTTTTACACTACAGTGACAATGACAGAACTGCGTACTTGTGAGGAGACCATGTGGGCTACAAAGCCCTCAAAAATATTTACCATCTTGACATTTATAGAAATATATCAAACCATATGCATTTCAAAAGAAAAACATGATGAAAATTTGTTTAAGAGTCCCTCTACAAAGCAATAGCAGTTTACTATCAAGAAGATATACTGTTTAAACAGCAAGCCAGTGGGTAAAAAAAGGCAAGAACAGAAAAGCTAGTCTTATCTACATCATCATACAAAAGACAAGTTTCTATGCTAAATACTAAATTTACAGAATTAGGGTTAACCCACATTTGACTATTTTTCTTACTATACTAAAATAATACAGATAAAATTAGAAAACTATACTATTTTTAAATTAGCAAGCTATGTATAACCAATTATATTTTTCTATTTTTAATGTGCCTAAAGGGGGAATAAAAATAATTGAAGTTTTCTTCCAGATAAGACACAAGAGATGAAAAGTTGTGCTTTGAGTTGTGTCTAAGGCTACAAAATATACAAGAAGGTTTTCCAGTAAATGAATTACAAATGTCTTAAGTATGATTAAAAATCATGTATGGGGCTGGGGAGATGGCTCAGCAGTTAAGAGCACTTACTGCTCTTGCAGAGGACAGAGCTGGAGTCCCAACACCATGTTGGGAGACTCACAACTTCCTGTAACTCCATCTCCTGGGAATCTGATGCCTTTGGCCTCTGTAGGCACCTGTACTCATGTGCACATACCCACACTCAAGCACGCAATTACAATTTTTAAAAATCTTTTAAAATCTGTGATTCTCAGCTCAGCTGCAAGATATGTTACTTGTATTGATAACAAACTGAGACAAACTATCATGTATAAACCACAGCTAACACCACTCTGTTAAGGCAATAGTATTTAAAACTATCTGAAACTTTTATCAGTTCTCCTTCCTTATCTTGCAAAGATTGATGAACGTAAACAGTAAACTGAGAAGAAAAAAATTACCCTTGGTTTTGCTAAGTCTTTGACAATTTCAATTTCTGCATCAGAAATAATATCATGGAAACGAATAATACGAGGCTTGTCCCACTCATCCTCCTGTTTGGCTGGAGCCAGAATAAATTTAGGATTCCGGTTTCCATCATGGTAGCGGCAAAACAGCTTTTTCTGTCTCCTAGGAGTCTAAACACAAAGTGAGAAAGATAAATGTATTAGAATACTAATTTTCTGTCTATTTGTGCACAGGTAAAGACGCAGAGACCATGCTTGCACGCACACAGGTTTTCTCTTGAAGAACACACAGAAGCAGCATCCTGCAAGTGTTTTGCACCAAACAGGACACTCAGGATTTTAAATTTTTGATTAATGATTCTTAGGGGTTGGGAGTGTAGCTCCCTGGTAGAGTAGTTCCCTGGCATGTGAGAGGCACTGGACTCAATCCCTAGCACTCCCCAAAACAAAAACAAAACAAAACCACACTATTTTCTGGGGAAGGCAGTTACAGTCCTTAAGAAGAAAAACAAGGATTTTCTTCTTTCTCAACATTCTCTCATTAAAATAATTTCAGGTATTGTAAACATGAGAACAATTACATGTTTATGGAAATCAAAAATGTAACCCCAGCATTGCTCCAAACTTCAAAAATGATTGCCGGGTGTGGTGGCGCACGCCTTTATTCCCAGCACTTGGGAGGCAGAGGCAGGCAGATCTCTGTGAGTTCGAGGCCAGCCTGGTCTACATAGTGAGTTCCAGGACAGCTGGGGCTACAGGGAGACCCTGTCTCAAAAAGACTGGGGAAAAAAAAAAAAAAAAGACTGAGAAATATCCAGAAAAATGAGCGTCCAGAAGGAAAAACAAAACTAAACCAAATTTTCCTAAATATTTCACAATTAAATGCTCATGTTAAAAAGTTTTTAACATCAAAGGTGAAAATGGTTAGTTCTGAAAAGAAAACAAATTCTTAAGCCAGGCGCTTTCATTAACAACAGAGCAGACAACAGAGCAAAGCAGTGCTTCCTTCAACCAGTTACATACATACTTTAATGAAATCAATTATTAATAACTTAAAAAAAAAGACAGGGTCTCCTTATAGCTCAGGATGACTTCAAACATCATGATGCTATTGATTGCCTCAGCCTTTGGAGTGAAGGCATGCACCACCATGACACATTCCTTTTTTAAAAATTGTTTGTTCTTTCTGAAACAGGGTCTGACTATGCAGGCCAAGTTAGCCTTGATATCACAGAGACTGGCCTGCCTCTGCCTTGACTGCTGGGATTAAAGGTGTGCGCCACCATGCCCAGCTAAAAGAAAAGGCTTTGACCAGGAAACTGTGACTCTTCTGTTAATTAAAATGCATGTGACAGGAATAAATTAGTCTAATTAAGTTATATAATGAATAATAATTCATATTTTTCTCCATGCAGTTTACTGAGAGTCAAATTCAAGATTTTATATCAAATCAGTCTTTTTATATACTGATGAATTTTTCAAACTGATTAACAGTTTGAAAAAGGGATGCTTCTCTGATTATGGGCAGAGTTAGCAGGTGTGAGTCATATTAAACTGGTGACATCAGTAGACTCCTGTTTTGTATTATTAGTTTTACTTTTCTGGTTTAAGACTTATGAAGGGCAAAGCTGGTGATGTGGAGAGCTTGCCTCACATGCACAAAGTCCTGGGTTCAATTCCTAGCAACACATAAACTGGGTGCAATGGTGTACATCTGTGATCCCAGAACTAGGGAGGGAGAGGCAGGAGGAGCAGAGATTAAGGTTCCATAAGGAATAAGGAGTTTCTGGAAAATCTGAGGTATGTAACACCCTGTCTCCAAAACAAAAAGTTTACTATTGGAAATGTGAAAACTAATTAAACATTTGATATTATTTCATAACATCTGTGAATTTGAAAAGACATAATAATGATCTTTACTCAGTTTGAGCTCTTTAAAGTATAAATACTGTACCAGTTTGAATCTAGTATGCATCCAAATGCTCAGCTGAGTTGCCATCCTGTGGCACTGTTGGGAGGTAGCAGAACACTTAAGAAATGGGGCTGATTGGAAAGTCACTGGGGTGTGACCTGGAAGGGGCTACTGAAAAGCCCAATCCTTTTCTCTCTGCTTCTGGGCTGCAATGAGGTAAGTGTTCCATGTTCTCCTTTGCCACAGGCCCAAAGAAATGGAGAATGGTTTATGGATTAAGGTCTCTGAACCCATGAGACCAAATAAATCTTTTCTTCCTTTTAAGTTGTGTATCTAAAGTATTTTGTCAGAGTGACACAAAGGTGACTAAAAGACATACTAAAACATTTAGAAATGAAAAGAATAAGAGTTCAATGAATCTAGCAAAGTATTCTTTTTCTTTTTCTTTTTTTTTTTTTTTTTTTTTTGAAAAAGGGTCTCCCTTTAGCCCCAGCTGCCTGGATGTGTAGACCAGGCTGACCTTGAACTCAGAGATCCACCTGCCTCTGCCTATCAAGTGCTGGGATTAAAGGCGTGCGCCACCACGCCTGGCTATTTTATTATTTTTATTTTATGTGTATGAGTGTATTGCCTGCATGTGTGTAAAGTGCACCCATGTCATGCAATGCCCGAGGAGGTCAAAAGAGGGTGTCAGATTCCCTGGAACTATAAACAGTTGATAGCTGCCATGTGGGTGCTGGGAATCAAACCTGGGTCTGTAAGAGGAGCCAGTGCTCTTAACCACTGGGCCATCTCTCCAGCCTTAACAAAGCAGTCTTATGCTTGCATTTGCTAATTAGCTCCCAAAGTAAAAGCAAGTATTTCGTGCTAGCAATCCATGAACCTGGCCATCAAAAGTATCCACGATAGTATCTTTAGTCCCAACACTAGGGAGGTCTGTCTCAAGAGCAAAATAGGAAGTGTCCACAGTGATGTGATGTATGCACTTGCCATTAGTGATTAGGTTATCAATGGTCTTCAATATCAAAACAGAGTCTAACTTTAGTTTCTTAATAGAGAAAAAAAATTTAAACATTTTTCAAAGGTTTACACTTGGAAGTATTTACTTTAAAAATTCACCAACTAATGTTAGTGAATGAGTCCTTAAAAGAAGGTTCCATAACCAGTTAATTCTGGCAAACAAAGTATATCATATGCATAGTACTGTACATTGCCATCCACTGTAAGGCAATACAGCATACTATTTTGTGCAGTCATTCTGATTTTATCACATAGGCTTAAATATGAAAGAGCTTTGATTCTCTCTAGAAGTATGTACAAACATAGAGTTGCACACATTCTCTCTCTCTCTCTCTCTCTCTCTCTCTCACACACACACACACACACACACAATTGACTTTTCCACTTTACCATTTTGATACCCTCCCCACGGCACAGCATTTCGTACTTCTGTCTCTCTGGCAGGTAATCCACAGCAATTCCTTTTTTCTTTGGTGTGGCTTTCTGATCAGACTGGTCACCTGAAGCAGACTTATTGGCATCTTTCTCTTTAGCCATTATATACTCAAAATATTTTAAGTTACCATTAGCTCTCTGATGTTCAGGATCTATTAGAGAGAAATAAAGCACATACACAGGCAAGTTTACAACTGGTTCAATCATCATAAAATATGCTATTTATTTAAGATTTTATTTTTTGTTATGCATGAGGGGTTATCTGTATGTGGGTAGAGGTACCCAAGGAAAAGAGGGGCTTTGGATCCCCCAGGAGTGGGAGTTCCAGGCAGTTTGTAAGCCACTTGATGTAGCTGCTAGGAATTGAACTCAGATCCTCCAAAAGAGTAGCAAGTGCTCTTAACTACTGAGCCATCTCTCCAGTCCACCAATATGCTTTGGAGAAAGGAGGCGTTAATTATTATTCTATCAAAAATACAGATGTAAACTAGTACTATCACATGTAAATCAAGACCTATAGTTACCCTTTACAAAAACAGTTCTGGCGACAGGAAGAGCCATTTATTTTTAGGTAGCAATTATTGCTCTGCCTCAAGAACTCACTCATCAGTCCAAGGATGATGTTCAATTTGATGTCAAAAGAATCTTAAAATCGTACTTATCTACTTATTTTAAGCAACGGAAAATTTTTTTCTGAGGCTGAAAAGTAATCACTATGGTAAAGACAAAGTAGACCCAGCCCAAAAGCAACATTTGTCACAGATAAATGTAGACCAGTTTACACCCGAGGGCTAAGAAGACTTCAGATCTAAATTTCAAAACAAGAAGGAAAAAGGAACTAAAGATATAATTTTCAAATAGGCCAGAATCCAGAGTCTCAGAATTGCTAGTGATTATTTTTAGTTACTTTTTAGTAAAGGAAAAAAAAAATCCAAACAACCACACACAGAGATAAAAATAAAAAAGACATAGCTGGGCATGGTGGATCTCTGTGAGTTCCAGGCCAGCCTGGTCTACATAGCAAGTTCCAGACCAGCTGGGGCTACAAGGAGACCCTGTCTCAAAAAGACAGAAAAAAAAAAAACAAAAAAAACAGTTAAGTAGAGATGCCACTTGTGGCATTAATGAAAGTGCTCAGAAAATCTAGCTCTAGTTTGTGAAATATTTCTCGTCCTTTTGAAACTGCTCACAATATATGTTACAATATACAATAAAAGCCTTAATTTTGTAAGAGGGTAAACAAATGTGTGCAAAGAAGTCGAGTATACACTACAATGAAACAAAAAAGAATATATACTTGGCTTATGGATATCTTTCTGTGTTAACAAATTTTCAACACTTAGTACAAAGAACTTCACTCTTCAAAAGAAAGTATTATCAATTATCAATCGTTCAACTAAGGTTAGATCCTTTTTTTTTTCCCATGACAGAATCTCCCTATAGCTCCTAGGTGGCTTGGAACTCACATTTGCCTGCCTAGATCCAATTTTTAAACCCCACTGTTGTATTATTAAATGAGAAAAAATCAGTTGCCACTTACTTTGAGAATAAATAGTGAGAGGGCAAAGTTATGTCTGACAGGTAAGCATCTTGACTTCTAATGAAAAGTCACAAAAGTCTTTGGATGTGCATGAGTGCATGGACAAATAGACATAGGAATAAATATATACCCCAATGTAGCTATAACCTAAATTAGCCCAGATGACAAACCTAGCTCAAGAAGCTTCTTTGTGAGAAGAAGGGCTTTATCCAGGTCTCCTTGTTGGTACACTGCATAGCTCAGATAATCCAGAACAGAGACTTTGTCTATGGTAGAGATCTCTCCTTCCTCCAGTTGTCGCAATGCTTGCTCCATCCACAGCTCTGTATGGTAATAATCTGCTTCTGTGTAGGCCACTTTGCCCAGCTCAAAGCAGTCTTCAGCTGTTAGAAAAGATTTATGTTTTACTCCTACAAAAAAAATAAAAAAAAATACTGAGACTGCTAGCAGTCTTCATACTATATTGTATTTACTTAGGGTTACATAACTTTACAAGTGCTATTTCACTTTTATTTCAATTTCATAATAATCCTGAGGCAAGAAAAGCAAAATTAGTCTAATTTTATAGACAAAAGAACAGTCCACAGGACAGTGTAGCATGACAAGAAATCTATAGCTGGTAATAGGGAACATGGCACCAAAAGGACCCACAACTGGGACTGGCAAGATAGCAGTCAGAAGTGCTTGCCTTCAAGCCTGACAACCTGAGTTCTATTCCCCAAAACTCACATGGTAGAAGGAAAGAATCAACTCCCACAACCTATCCTCTGACCTCCACATTGGCACCATGGCATAAGTACCCCCCACATTATGCAAACATACATGCAATAATAATAAATATAACTTGGGCTAGAGAGATGGCTCAGTGCTTGCTGCCCCCAAATGACCTGGATTCAGTTCTTAGCACCCACATGGTAGTGCACAACTGTCAGAAACTCCAGTTCCAAGGCAACTGATGCCCTCTTTTGGCCTCTGCAGGCACTGCATGCACATGAAGCATATAAGCTCACTCTCTGTCTCTCACACACACAAAACTTAAAAATTGTGTGTGTGTATTTTTTAAAAATGATCTGGAGATAGAGCTCAGTAAAGAGTACTGGCTACTAGTACAGAGGACCCAAGTTCAGTTCCCAGCACCCACATGTCTCCACTTCTGGGGATCTGATGTCATCTTCTGACATCCACTGGCACTGCACAACATGAGTGCACTTACATACGTGCAGGCAATACACTTATACACATAAAATTAATAAAAATATTAAAACATAAATAAAAGACAAATGAGATTATGAGCTAATCTGAAGAGGCTCCCAGTGGGTGAAGGGAATCTAAAAATCAAAAGAGATAACACAATAAATTAGAATTCAAAAACCACTGTATATTAAAAAACAGCCAGGCGTGGTGTTTAATTGCCTTTAATCCCAGCACTTGGAAGGCAGAGGCAGGCAGATCTTTGTGAGTTCCAGGACAGCTGGGGCTACAAGGAGACCCTGTCTCAAAGAGACAAAAAAAAACCAAAACTATGAGCTCATGATACTTCTGAGAATGCTCACTCATCACTGCCACAAATCATTAGGGCATGAACCCATCACTCTGAAAATTGCCTTAGTCTTCCTGCTGCTGTTATAAAATGCCTGACAAAATAACTTAAGGGAGATAGGGCTGGCTTCAGCTCACAGCTCCAAATACAGTCCACTATGGCAGGGAAGTCAGGGCAGCAGGAGCCTAAAGTCACATCACAGCCATAGTCACAGAGCGCAATGAACGCTTGCTGCTGCCAAGCTCCCTTTCTCCAAACAGTCCAGGATCCCAGCCAGGGAATGGACTCACCCAGAGGGAAGGTCTTCCCACATCAATTAAGGTAATCAAAATGATCCCCAAAAGCCATGCTTACACGCCTATCTCTTCCCAGGTGATTCTACATCTGCAGTTAACAATTAACATTAACCATCACAATGATAAAAGAAAAAAAAATCTTGCTATATATCCTTGACTAGCCTGTTATTTGCTATATAACCCAGGCTGGCCTCAGCCTCCTGAGTGCTGGAATTATAGGCAAGTGCCGAGATTACAGATCCGTGTGGTTACATCTCATTAGTTCAACCTCTTTTTTCCTTTACTTTTAAAAAACATCTTTTAATATTGTACCTTTTTTTTTTTTCTTCAGTGTTTTTGAAAGAGGGTCTCCCTGTAGCTCCAGGTGGCCTGGAACTTACTACATAGATCAGGCTGGCTCCAAACTCACAGAGATACACCTGCCTCTGCCTCCCAAGTACTGGGATTAAAGGCATGTACCACCATGCCCGGCACTATTTTACTTATTTTTAAATTTTCTGTGTATGAGTATTTGGTTGCATGTAAGTGCTCCATGTACATGCACAGCCTGTGGAGGCCAAAGGAGGACATCAGATCCCCTGGAACTGGTGTTAGGGATGGTTGTTAGCCGCCATGTAGGTGTTGGGAACCAAACCTGGGTCATCTGTAAGAACAGTCAGTGCTCTTAATCACTGAGCCAGCCATCTCTCCAGCCCTGCAGGGACTTAACTCTTAATACCATCATATTGCCCATTGAGTTTCAACGGCTGGAATTTGCAGGGGGCACATTCAAACCATAGCAGATGCCAAAAACCTATCTTCTTAAGTTTAATGTGACAGAATTCCAGAAACCAAAGCTTCATATTAAATTTTGAGCCCCATTACTGTGCTGCTGTTACAGTTTTAAAATGAGCTCATGATTCAGCAATTGTTTTAGGGGCATGCAAAACACATTGAGGACAATACACACCACTATGTGCAGACAGCACACTAACATTCTGTAAATGATCTTTCATTCTAACAGAGTTATATGATGAACAAGCAAGATGAAAAAGAACTGAGGCTCCTGAGCTATTACGCTTTGGTCAAGTATTTCTGATTGTGTTATCAATTATCTATTCACAACTATCATAGGCTACTTGTCTGGGAATTGGGCTCTTAGAGGAAGAAAGTGAAAAAGAGTGATGTATTTGATTGTTTGTTTTGGGTCTTTTGAGACAGGGTCTCCCTGTAGCCCCAGCTGTCCTGGAACTCACTATGTAGACCAGGCTGGCCTTGAACTCAGAGATCCTCCTGCCTCTGCCTCCCGAGTGCTGGGATTAAAGGTGTGTGCTACCATGCCCAGTGAAGTGATGCATTTGAAACTGAGGCACCAGTGGTTAAGCACACTGAATGTTCTTGAAGAGGACCCAGGTTCGAATCCCAGCACCCACATGGCAGCTAACAACTGTCTGTAACTTCAGTCCCAGGGGATCCAACAGCCTCTTCTGTCCTCCACAGGCATTGCACAACTATATACAGGCAATACACACATACACATAAAAATAATAAATTTTTTTAAAAATAGTTTTTATTTTGTGTGTATTATTGTATGTCATACAGTGGTGAGAGGTCAGAAGAGGGTATCAGATTCCCCTAGAACTGGAGTTAAGGATGGTCCTTAGCCGCCATGTGGGTACTAGAAATTGAACCTGGCTCCTCTGCAAAAGCAGCCTGTGCTCTTAACTGCTGAGCCATCTCTCAAGCCCCCTAAATAAAATACTTAAGAAAAATAAAGAAAAAAGAAAAAAGAAACTGAGGCACAAGAGTAAATAGGCAAGAAACTATGAAAAACGCCTCTAAGAGATGGTGTTTGCTTACCTCTCTAGACTCACATCTCATTATTCTCACAAACCTAGATCCTATCTCTAATTCATGTACTTACCATATGAACTCTATGTGAAGCCAAACAGTGTGCCTGTTAGTTATCTGAATTAGACAGACTCCCTCCTTTCCAGCTTCCATATGTTTCTTCTGCCTGAAACACTTCTTCCTCGCCTACTCCTGTCTCCCTTCTCCCCATTCTCCTGGCTAATGCTTTGTTCTCTGCCTCTCAATTATTTCAATACATCATTCAGGAAATCTTCCTTTTTAACTCTATGAAGTCCAGAATTAGGTTTCCTTCTGTGTGCTTCCACTATATCCTAAATTTCTCCCATCCATTCATTATACTTATCTTAATGTATCAGGCTGGAAAGCTGGTGCAGCTGTTAAAGGCTCAGGCTCACAACCAAAAAGAATGTTAAGTGTCTTAAATGGCAAAGGTATTACCTTGTTCATTATGTATCCTTAGTACTAAACATAATAGCTGAACATATTATGTAATTAATGTCTTTAAATGTGGAGCTGAAAACCAGAAGCTAGTTTGTTTAATGTTATAATCTTACCAATTATAATGTAGAAATTTTTTTAATTTACTTTTATTTTATGTGTATGAGTGTTATTCTTGCATGTATGTAAGTGTTCCCATGTCATATATATGGTGCCTGAGGAGGCCAGAAGAGGGCATCGGATTCCCCTGGAACTGGAGTTATAGATGGTTATCAGCACCTATGTGGGTGCTGGGGTTCAAACTCAGGTCCTTGGCAAGAGCAGCCAATGCTCTTAACTGTTGAGCAGTATCTTCAGCCCCTTATAATATAGCATTAATAGAAACAAAATACACTCTTGCAGGTATTCCAGTTTATCACAAATCTTACTTAACATAACACCATATGTAGTTTTACCTCCACAACTTCATTCCAAATGAAGGGAGATGGACAAGAAAACCTGTTCATAAACTACTAATTCCACTGATTGTTCTGTTTTGTTTTACTGAGAAAAGGAATTTTAGTATGACCACAGAGGCAACACATTTTATTTCTCCAGGTGGTAGTGAAAGGAGTTGGTAAGCCACAAACTCATAGAAAAGTGACAGAATTTTTTTTTTCCCCATAAGAGATCAGATAGTAGGTTGTTTCATATCGTGGAACACTAACATCTGTCCATATTTAAAACGGCTTGGCTTTTAATTACTGAATATAAAAACTAATTCCCTTACAGTTTTCCATAGGAAACATTCAGTTCAATTCCAATTTAAATATTCTAAAATGAATGTCTGAAAAAAATTGTTTCTTCTCCTTACACATTGAAATTACTTAAATTAATCCTTATCAGTAAAAGCTTTCACAAGATGGGGCTAGAGAAATGGCTCAGCAGTTAAGAGCACTGACTGCTCTTGCAGAGGGGCCGGGTTCAATTCCGAGCACCTACATGGCAGCTACGAACTGTCCTTAACTCCAGTTCCAGGGGAATCGGAAGCCATCTTCTGACCTCCGCAGCATTGCACAACATGGTGCACTCACATACACGCAGGCAATACACTCATACACATAAAATAATTTTTTAAAAAAGAAAACTTTTTTCGTTACATTTTCCTAGCTGTCTGAATAGAGCAGTAATGTGGAAAGGCATTTCATAAACTGGACAAATGATCTTACCGGGAAGATTACCCTTTGAGATGGTATCTGTATCCAGATTATAAGTGTCCTGGAGACGCAACAGAGCTTTTGCTGCCCCAACCTGATCTTCATCATTAGGAAAGTACTGTCTCTGAATGGTGAGGTTAGAGATAAAGCCTTGAAATTTAAAGAAGAAAAAAAAGGAGGGTTGGGATGTAGAAATTCATTGACTTCTAATTCAGAGGATACAGATTTTTCAAAGTTTATCTTATTTTTATACCATACCATAAACAGTTCACATGTTCACCAAAACTAAAATATACCAAATGAATTGACATACCATTGATCTCAATTTTCCTGATTCTATACTAGTATTAAGCAAGCGGGTCATGCATAAATTACATCTATATTACTAGACAATTGAATTTTTACATAAGATAATAAGAAAAAAAGTGTCTGTACTAAATTTATGAAATGGACATATTTATGCATTTGAAAATACCAAGGTTACAAAGTATACTTTGATTTTCCAGATGGTAAATACAAATTGTGCTTCTAAAGTTTTGTTTCCTTCTTTCATGTATTACATATAAATTTTGGTGGACTTCAAGGGGAAAAAAAAATGACTAATCATATTAGATCAACAGCCAAGCATCTTTACTGAAATATATTTAAGATATGCTTAATCATAAAATACAATGTTCTGGCTGGGCGTGGTGGTGCACACCTTTAGTCCCAGCACTCAGGAGACAGAGACAAGCGGATCTCTTTGAGTTTGAGGCCAGCCTGGTCTACGTAGTGAGTTCCACGCCAGCTGAGGCTACAGGGATACAGGGAGACCCTGTCTTAAAAAGGCCGGAAAAAAAAAAAAAAAAACAATGTTCTCTGTGTGTGGGAGTGCACGGGGTCTGATGGGGGTATGGGGGAGGGGGTCTGAGTTTGATTGAGAATTGTTATATATGAGAATACAGAAACTCAATTTAAAATTTTTTTAAAATAAAATACAATGTTCATCGATCAAGATGTACTACATATAAAATCTAACAGAGGGCAGGAATGGTGGTGCATGCCTGTAATCCAAGCACTCCTGCAAATACAGAAGATAGCAAGTTCTTCCAAGTCAGCCTGGACTACCTACCAAAAACAAAACACAGCCAAAACTACACATGCTTTTAAATCCTAGCACCTGGGAGGCAGAGGTATGTAGAAGAGTTATCTTTGAGTTGAAGGCCAGCCTGGTCTATATATGTTGTTCCAGGCTAACTGACACCCTGCCTCAAAAACAAACAAAAAATAAGACTGGTTATTCAGCTCAGTTAGAGCACCTGCCTAGGATACATAAGGCCCAGAGTTCCATCCCCAGGATCCCCTGCCCCACTACACACACACACACACACACACACACACACACACACAGGATTTATATAAAACAGCAAAATCAAGCTAACAAATCAACCACTTGACTATTATATAATCATTAAAGAGAAGGGATTATAAATATTCCTTAAGAAACCAAAAACTAGGGCTGGAGAGATGGCTCAGTGGTTAACTGCTCTTGCAGAGCACCTGGCTTTGGTTCCCAGTACTTAACATGGTGGCTAACAACTATCTGTAACTCCAGTCCCAGAGAATCCAATACCTACTCTTCTGGCCTCTGTGGGCACCAGGCATGCATGTGATACACTGACATTCATACACATAAGATAAAAAAAAATCGTATATTTTTATTTATGTGCATGAGTGTATTGCCTATATGGATGTAAGTGCACCTGTGTCCTGCAATTCCCGAGGACTTTAGAAGAGAGTATAGGATCCCCTGGAACTGAGTTAACCACCATATGGGTGCTGGGAACTGAACCTGGATCATCTACAAGAGCAGCCAGTACCCTTAACCACTGAGCCATCTCTCCAGCCCCAAAAAACAAATAAACCAAAACCAACACACATGCTGCAATGGCATGTGCAATGTGCTCACACACACAAACAAAAGCCAAAAAGTGGTTTAAATTTTTAATACTACAAATGCCATACTGTAAATAAAGGAAGAAGACTAAAGTTCATGTCAAAAATTATTTTTTAGTTTAAGACCAATTCTTAGTCACAATTTCCAAATGGAATTTTGTGTTTTACAGAAGACTGTAATGCTTTTTATACATCAAAATAAAAACAAATTGCTTTAGTCCTCCCAAATAAAGAGGAAAAAAAAAATGTGTGTTTGCCAAAGTCTCAAGATTTGCATTATAAAAGAACAGGTCAATACTGTAGAACAGAGTGTATGTGGGGTGTGTCTGTGTACAGGAAAGACAAAAAGTTTATTTCCTTACAAATATTCTCTGGGCATTATATACAACCATGTCTTTCCCTCCTGTGGTAAAAAAGTATTCACAAGTACTTGCCATTATGTTTCAAGGCAAGGTTCCTTGTCCTATAGGTAATAATGTTCCTCCCTTATCCACATGAATACATTCCAGACTCAGTGGTCAAAATAAAGTATGGATAGTAGCAAACCTTATATATACCACAGTTTTTCTTATAAATACACATACATGCACAAATTTAAATGTCTTCTCTAACCTACTTATCATGCACTTTGAGCATAGTGTTTTTAAATTTTTTATTAATTTTTGTGTATTTCATACAGAACCTCTTAATCATCTTTATATCACCTTCTCCAGTGCCCCCCCCATATCCCTCCTCCACTGGAATTCATACATTATATCATTTGTGTTGAGGCCTATCATGTCAAGTTAGTGTCCCCAGATGTCCCTCAATGCAACTTCATCCACTCAGGTCTAGTCAGCCTATCTAGGGTCCCTCCCTTTAAGAAGATCAGCTCTTCCTCACCCAGCAGTAATCACCTGCCAAAAATTCTTCAACTAAGATTGGGGCTTGCTGTCCGCTGTCCATTTCCAGTTCTGTGCTGGGTTTCTGTCTGCTTGAGTTTGCATGGGTCTTGTGCATGCTGACACCATTGCTGTGGGTTCGTATGAGAAGAGTCCCAGGCACCTGTAGGACTATTTCTGTATGGTCATGCACCTCCTCCCTGGCACCTGCCATCTTTCTACCCCTCTTCTGCAATGGTCCCTAAGCCCTGGGTGGGTGGATTTTAATACAGGAGTCCTGTTCAAGGACCCACACTTTGTAGACTCTTATTCTCTATGTTTTAGGCATTTGTAACCTTTTGGGTTCCTGGGCCTCTGTTGAATGAGGGAGCTTCATTGATGAGAATTGAAAGATGCACTAGTGTTCTCTTCATCCTGTTCTATGTTCCATGAGCCTTAGGTACGGAGGTTGCATCAGAGATATGCCACTTAGGTGTGGGTAATTCACAGACAATTTGTCTAACCAGGTGTGTAACTCTGTAATATCTTTGTTGAAAAAGAAGCTTCTGCTGGGTGTGGTGGTGCACGCCTTTAATCCCAGCACTGGGGAGGCAGAGGCAGGCGAATCTCTGTGAGTTCAAGGCCAGCCTGGTCTACACAGTGAGTGCCAGGCCAACTGGGGCTACAGGGAGACCATGTATAGAAAAAACCCTGTGATATAGAGGAAATGAGACCTGGAGAAGTTAAATGATTAGGCTTCTTTGATGGGTGGTGACTGGGATACTTGTCTGTAAATTTAAGAATCCTTATTTTGCACACAGTAACGAATTACAATTGTCTAGGGATATGACAGCCTTGGGGTTTTCTCTAAGATGACCTCTCCAGCTGTATTTGGCTAAATTTTCAGTACCACACCTGAGTTTCCTCCCATTGCGTGGGCTTTAAGGCCAATTAGGCAGCCGTTGATTATCCCCAAGATAAAAGTGTCACTACTGCGCCAATGTTGTTTGCTGTGCCAGTCATTGATGCGGTTTTTAGGCCTTAAGCTGAGATTGGACCATCAATTGATGTTCTCCCTTATCAGCTTGCATAGTGCTCTCCAAATCTATGAGAGGTATCCTTCAAGGGAGGTGGCTTCCGGGTCAGTACCACCTAAGTTGCTCCAAATCCTGTACCCGAAGTAATGTTCTGTCTTCAGCAATAGGGTCTTAACTTCAACTTCTGGGAGGCAATCAAGGGCTGTGGCAATAACCTGTGTAATTTTGGGAGTCTCCTGGATTACCCTGGCGAACAACTCAAAGGAAGGTTTCTCCCGTCAGGCACTGTTTCTTGTTATGTAGTCTTCAGCTATACACATGGATTCATGTAGATATTGGATGTATAATTTTTCAGTAGGCTTTTGGACTAAGACAATTCCCTCTGGTTTTTTTTATGAGGCTAGCATTATTTATCTCTTTTCTCTCTCCCCGTCTTATCCACCCTCCCCATTTAGTGTCCCCATTTTCCCCATTTCTCCCTTAATAATTCCTGTATACTATGGTCCCACCTCTGTTGAACTTCTTCCACTTTATCCCCATAGTTCCATAGTCTTCCTGCTCCCCTCCCATTTAACTACCCCATTTTACACATTTTTCCTTGTCTCCTACTGTTCTCTCTTGGGTTCCTTCTTTCCCTTTACCCCCTTGGTTTTCTTCCATTTTCCTGGTTCCTGCAGTTACATCAGGATATGTACTCACATATAAGGATCCACAAATCAGGGAGAACATACATCGTTTGTTTTTCTGAGTCTGTTACTTCACTTAGTATAAGTTTCTAGTTCTAACCATTTACCTGCAAATCTCATTATTTCATCTTTCTTTACTGCTGAGAACTTTGTTATGTAAATGTACCACATTTTCGTTAACCACTTGTCAGTTGAGGGGCACTTAGGTTGCTTCCATCTCTTAGCTATTGTGAAAAGAGCAGCAACAAACATAGTTGAACAAATATCTCTGCAACAGGATAAGTCCTTTGGGTATATGCCAAGGAGTGGTATAACAGGGTCATATGATAGGTTAATTTTTAGTTTTTTACGAGTTCTCCACACTGCTTTCCATAGGGGTTGCATGAGTTTGCAATCCCACCAGAAGTGAATGAGCATTCCCCTTTCTCCACATCCTCACCAACACTGATCTCATTTGTACTCTCGATCTTATCCAGTCTGACTGGATAAGATGAAATCTTAAAGTGGTTTTGATTTGCATTTTCCTAATTACTAATGATGTTGAACATTTTTAAGATGTTTCTTAGCCGTCTTTATTTCTTATTCTGAGAACTCTCTTTAGATCTTTAGCCCATCTTTTAATTGGGTCACTTGTTTTCTTGTTTTTTTGAGTTCTTTGTATATTCTGGATGTTAAGCTTCTGTCAGATGTATCACTGGTAAGGATTTTCTTCCACTCTATGGGTTTTCTCTTCACTTTCTTGTTACTTTTGCTGTACAGAAGCTTTTTAGTTTAATGAGGTCCCACTTGTTGATTATTGACCTTAATTCCTAAGCAACTAATGTCCGATTTAAAAAATCCATTCCTACACCTGTATCTCCTAAGTTACTATCAATGTTTTCTTCTAGGAGTTTCAGAGTTTTCAGTTTCACAGGGAGGTCTCTGATCCATTTAGAACTGACTTTTGTGCAAGGTGAAAGGTAAGGGTCTAGTTTCACTCTTCTACAGGTGGAGATCCAGTTTTGCCAGCACCATTTGCTGAAGATGCTGTCTTTCCTCCATTGTGTGTTCTTGGCACCTTTGTCAAGTATCAGGTAGCTGAAATTATGTGTACTCATGTTTGAGTCTTAGACCTATGTGTCTATATTTGTGGCAGTACCATGCTGCTTGAGCAAAACTACTTTTTAATTTGAGGTGCAACAGAAAACTCTAAAGAATTTCTTTTCCCTTAATCACAATTGCATGAATACAAGACTCATTCTTACTAAAGTTCTGAACAATCTCTTCCTGAGTCAAAAACTTTTACCTTTTCACTTACAGAAAACACTTCATAGCCTCTCTCTGGCACATCCAAATTGCCAGCATCACTGCCCTTGCACTGTTACTTGAACACCATGCAGTGTACCAGATAACAGAGAGGGCCACTAAGGGACTGAGGGCATGGATATGCTGCAGGCTCCCACCCTAGACAGGGCAGCAAAAAATTTGTCTCAGTAGTCAGAAAGGTAGAAAATTTAAAACATGGGACTGAACAGATGGCTCAGTGGTTAAGGGCACAGGACCCAGGTTCGATTCCAGCACCCACATGGCAGCTATGAACCATCCTTTACTCCAGTTCCAGGGGAATCCAAAGCCCTCTTCTGACGCCGCAGAATTGCACGACACAGGTGCATTCACATACATGCAGGCAATACACTCATACACATAAAATAATAAAATATTTTTTAAAAAATACTAATAAAACTTCCTGTTTATTTTTTTAATTTTCCACTTGATATTTTGAAGCTGTAGGTAATTGTAACTGCAGAATGCAAACTCATGGATAAAGGGAGACTATCTGCTCACTAACACTAGTGAGCACTCTAGAAAGTATTTTCTCTACATAGATTGTTCAGTTCTCACCTTTTTCTTTGACACCATTCGCTCATTCAACAAATACCTGAGCTTCTACTAAGAATAAGGCACAATCCCTTTGCCTTCTTAAACTCCAGACTCAGTGCTCCATGACAATGGAACTATGTGAGATACTCCAACTAGAACTGAAGTGTTTCACTTATAAAAACTTTTCAATATTGATGGCTGTAGTGTCAGGTTTTTTGTTTGGTTGGTTGGTTTTTTGAGACAGGGTTTCCCTGCAGCCAAAATGGCCTGGAACTCACTAGGTGGATTAGGCTGGCCTTGATCTCACAAGTTATCTGCCTGCCTCAGCCACCCAGTGCAGATATTAAAGGAGTGCGCCACCATGCCCAGCAAGCTTCAGTTTTGTTTTTTTTTTTAATTTATTAAGTAAAATAATCCTAAAACTATTAAGTGGAATACAGCTAACACTTTTGGTACTACTACTTTCAATGTTTTAGAAAATGGTGAAAATGCTTACCCATAAAAATTTAAGTTCTGAAGGTAATCCTAAAATAATAATCATTTTAGTGGCACACACCTTTAATCCCAGCACTCCCAGCATCGTGGAAGCACAATAATCCCAGCACTCCGGATGTGAAGAAGAAGGGCTTTATAGCAAGTTGAAAGTCAGTCTTAGTGACACAGTAAAACGTCATCTCAAAAAAAAAATTATTTTTACCCTCAAAAATGATAATGTGCCAAATAATCTAGTCACTTCTGTAAATCTGAAAATAAAATCACCAGTGCGGTCACCAGGATCAGCCATTATTTTTTATTAAATATTTTATGTGTATTCATGTATTGCCTGCATGTAGGTAAGAGTACCCGTGTTGTGCAACATCCGCAGAGGTCAGAAGAGGCTATCAGATCCCCTTGGACTGGAGTTATGGACAGTTGTTAGCTGCCATGTGGGTGCTGGGATTTGAACCTAGGTCTTCTGCAAGAACAACCAGTGTCCTTAACCGCTGAGCCATCTCTCCAGCCCCAGCCATTACTATTTTTTAAAAAAACAAGTAACTCAGCTGGGCATGGTGGTGTACCCTTTACTCCCAGCACTTGGGAGGCAGAGGCAAGCAGATCTCTGTGAGTTGAAGGCCAGCCTGGTTTGAAGGCCGGTCTGGTCTACATAGTGAGTTCCAGGACAGCTGGGGCTACAGGAGAACCTATCTCAAAAAAGACAAAAAAAACAAAAACAAAAAAACAAAATAACTCAAGATCTCAACAAAATTAACTCTAGTCAAACCAAACACTCAAGTTTTCAATTACAATATAAACATGTGATAAACCGAGAACTGAAAGGTTTTTGGTTCCTGTCTTCCCAAACTTACCATCTGACATATCCTTAAGGACCAGGTTCTCCAACTCACTCCATTCAGTATTCAGACGTTTCATTAATTTGAATGCATTTACAGGATGTCCAACAAACCCTTCTGGGTCTTTTGTTGCTGTGCTGGTTAGACGGTCCAACTTCTCTGCCCATCTACAGATAGAAGACATAAAAAAGGTCTTTTTGACAGGGTCTCTCTGTAGCCGTAGCTGGCCTGGAACTTTAATCCCAGGAGGCAGAGGCAGACAGATCTCAGAGAGATCGAGATCAGCCTGGTTTAAACACATCGAGTTCCAGGCCAGCTGGGACTACCAGGAGATGCTGTCTCAAAAAGACCAGAGGGGGTGGAAAGATGACTCAGCAGTTAAGAGCACTGGATGCTCTTGCAGAAGACCCAGTTCCCAACACCCATATGGCAGCTAACAACCATCTTAACTCCAGTTCCAGAGATTCAGACATCCTTTTCTGGCCTCTGCAGGCACCACATGCATGGGTACACTTACATACATACAGGTAAAACACTCAGATACATAAAATAAAAATAAAAACTTTAAGAATTTTCATTTCTGGCTTGTTTTGCTTTTTGAGACTACTCTAGTGCAGGTTGTCCTTCAATTTGAAATCCTTCTGCTTCTACCCCCCAAGTGCTAGAATCACATATGGGCTAATTTATACAAAGTCTTTACACTCTGTCTAGAACTGCACTTTAAAACACAAACTTCAATACTAAGGCATTCATGAAACAGAACACAAATCCTCAAACCAGGATTAACTATAAACTTGAGTCAATTAACTAAGGGGCGAGGGCTGACCCTGAATGTGGGCAGCCCCATACCACAGGCTACAGAAAAAGAAGCCTGACAGCACAAGGGCTGTGGATCTCTCTGTACTCTAACAGCCATTATTTGAGATGCTCTGTTTTAATGTACTGAAACTGAAACTTCTGAAACAGTAACTTCTGAAACTGTGAGCCAAAATCTATTTTTTCCCCAAGCTGTTTTGCCACAGTGATGAAAAAGCTACCTAGGGGCTGGGGAGATGGCACAGATGGTAAAATGCCCATCACACAAGAATTAGGTCTTGAGTTCAGATCCACAGCACCTACATAAGAATCCAGGCAGGCTAGAGAGGTGGCTCAGCAGTTAAGAGCACTGACTACTCTTGCAGAGGACACAGGTTCAATTCCCAGCACCCACATGGTGGCTATGAACCATCTTTAACTCCAGTTCCAGGGGAATCCAAAGCTCTCTTCTGACCTCCGTGGGATTGTACAACATGGGTGCACTCACATACACGCAGGCAATACACTCATACACATAAAATAAAAATAATAAAATTTTTAAAAATTAAAAAAAAAAAAAAAAAAAGACTCCAGGAGTGGTGGTGCATGCCTGTAATCTTAGCACTGGGAAGACAGACAGAGGAAGACCCCTAGCGCCCACTGACCAGCTAGTTTGGGAGGTTCAGTAAGAGATCCTGTCTCACTGGGCATGGTGGCACATGCCTTTGATCCTGGCACTTGGGAGGCAGAGTCAGGTGGACCTCTGTGAGTTCAAGGCCAGCCTGGTCTCAATAGCAAGTTCCAGAGGCTACAGGGAGACCCTGTCTCAAAAAGAACGAAAAAAAAAAAGAGATCTGTCTCAATAAATAAGACGGAGAGCAATACAGGAAAGCACATCATGACAAACACTGCCCTCAACACACATTTATACACTCAAGCACTTATACCTGTACAAACATGTGCATGCTGACATATACATGAACACTGACCCAGGCTTAACCCTTGTCTTCTATTTCTATGCTTACTGCTTTAGACATTTTAACTGGCTTTTATTTCTATCAATACTTCTGCTCAAAAAAGAAAATATCCAGGGTTGGAGAGATGGCTCAGCAGTTAAGAACAATGTTCTTGCAGAAGACTTGGGTTCGAATCCCAGCACCCACATGGCAGTTAACAACTGTCCATAACTCCAGTTCCAGAGGATCTGATAGTCTCTTCTGTCCTCCACAGGCACTGCATGACATGGGTGCACTTACCTACATGCACACAATATATACATAAACATAAAAATAATAAAATATTAAAAAAAAAGAAAATATCCAAGTGAAGTCAGTTATAAGTAAAATACACTTACTTTTTAATTTCTTCTAACTTGTCCTCTTCTGCCTTGATATAATCTTTTAGTGACGTCACCAGATCTTTCTCAGTATGGATCAAATCAGTCATTTGACCTACACGGGAAGAGGAAGGTAATTCAATACTCACCAACATAAACATTTTAGAATTAATTAGGAATGTTTTATCCTACAGGAGGATCTAACTGAAATGGAATAGATACGTTGTAAAGGATCACTTTTCCATCCTTTCACTGGACAAATCAAAATAAATCCAAACAAAAGTCTAATCTATGTGTTCCAGTTATAGTTTGTAGCTAATTTTGAAAACTTGGACTATGTTGACAAACTGTGTTTCCGTGAACAAACTTCAATTACCAAACAATACTATTTTCCAAGTACTGCTTCCTCTGTACTACCTCTACCCTTAACTCTCATCTCTTCAAGACTAAATTAGAGTTCAATTTTCATTCAATAAACAAAAAACACACTAAAAAAATTACCAAAAAAAATCGTTTTACGTTTTATTTTTATTGTATGTGTATGAGTGTATTTCCTATATGTGTGTTAAGTGCACCCATGCTGTGCAATGCCCACAGAGGTCAGAAGAGGGTGTTGAATTGCCCTGGAACTGGAGTCATGGACAGTTGGTTGTTAGTTGCCATGTGGGTGCTGGGAACCAAATCCAGGGTCCTCTGCAAGAGCAGCCAGTACTCTTAACTGCTGAGCCATCTCTAGTCCCATTTACTTATTTTTTAAGGGGTAAGAGGACTCATCATTTCATAACCTGAAATTAAGTGTTACAAATATTTATACTTATGTTTTAATTCTACAATTCTAAAAGGGTCAAAATGGACATAGAAAGGAAGGAAAATATCTCACTTAAGGCACTGAAGTATACGTATACAGGAAATCACAGAAGGACACATCTCAAACCACAGGGTCTATTCTGAGGACAAGTAAGTATGAAAGGTCTTACAGTCTATGTACTGTTCTTTTAGTTTTTTATCACTTTAATCCATACATTATTTCTTAAACTTTGTGTATGCATATATTGCCTGCATGTACGTAAGTGCACCCATGTCGTGCAATGCCCAGAGGTCAGAAGAGGGTGTCAAATCCCCAGGAACTAGAGTTATGGACAGTTGTTAGCTGCCATGTAGGTGCTGGGATTCGAACTCAGGTCTTCTGTAAAAACAGTCAGTGCTCTTAATCCTTGAGCCATCTCTCCAGCCCCCCCATACATTATTTTTATAATCTTAAAAATTTTTTTAAAACTATGATGTGAAGACAAAAGAAAAATGAGGAGGAACCCAATAGAGGGATGTTTTTGGAAGCCCCTGTCAAGAAATTCCAACAGACTCATATGAACACTTGAAAATTTCCCTGTTGGCTGACGTTTTTCTAGGTCTCTGGCTAGAACTTGTAATGCTAATTACTGATGCCTTTACTTCTTCACATCTCCTAGTCACGATTCAAGGACTATCTTTTCCCCTTAGATATAAGAGTTATGCAATTTGGGAGTCTTTTAGATAGATCCCCTGAAGGGGAATTTCAATCACCTCACCCTTTAGAGATAAGAGTTATGCAATTTGGGAAGTCTTTTAGATAGACCCACTGAAGGGGTACCCCAATTGCCTGACCCTGCATCCCTGTTCAGGATGGAAGAAGCCAGAGCAGTCTGCGTCCCGATTCCCTATTGGCAATTTGGGTAACCCCTTCAGAGGATGGTGTGATAAGAATAGGATGTAGGAATTGGCTAGGCAGTTAGGATAAAAAGACCCCCAAAGAAAAGTAGCCAGTTTCTTGGCTAAAAGTCACAATGTCCTTAGTCCTCTTAGCAACATACTCTGTTCCAAAGGCCAAAAATGTCTAAAGTATTTGGGACCTTGTATCTAATCCTTAAAAGATTTTGGGATTACCTCTTCAGACGGGGGAATGTTAGAGTAGCCAAAAGCCCCATAAAAATAAATAAATAAATCAAAGAAGAAAAAGTACATGAAGGTATCAGAAAAAAGTGATGGGGAGATATGGCAGGAGTTGGAGGGGAGGGAGTGGGCATGGATTTGATCAAAAAACCTTATATACGTGTATGAAATTCTTAATAAATTATTTTTAAAAATAGGAAAAGAATTATGATGTGGAAAAATATATGCAATGGAAAAAGCAGATTAGAAAGCAATGTGCAGAATATTTGTATATCTATGCACTAAAAAACTAGGTGGGCTGGAGAGATGGCTCAGCGGCTAAGAGCACTAACCGCTCTTGCAGAGGACCTGGACTTGATTCCCAGTACCCACATGATGGCTAACAATCTTCCGTAACTCCAGTTCCAGGGGATCTGATGCCTTTTTCTGACCTCCTTGGGCACTGCACAACACGAGTGCACTTACACACATGCAAGCATAACACTCATGCACATAATAAATAAAATATTAAAAAAATACTCAAGTGGCTGGAAAAATGGCTCAGCAGTTAAGAACACTGACTGTTCTTGCAGAAGACCAGGGTTCAAATCCCTGTTATGGACAGTTGTTAGCTGCCATGTGGGTGCTGGAATTCGAACCCAGGTCTTCTGCAAGAACAACCAGTGTTTGTCCATAACTCCAGTTCCAGGGGCTCTGACAGCCTCTTCTGTCTTCCACGGGCATTGCACGACATGGGTGCGCTTACCTACATGCAGGCAATACACACATACACATAAAATAAAATAAATAAATAAAATATTTTTAAAAATATGGTCAATCTTTAAAAAAAAGAATAGGTATATACATTAAATTGTTTGCTAAACAAGACTTATAGCAATAACTTTCTCTAATACATTTTTCTAAATTTTCTTAAGTTTCTCAGCAGAATACATTTTAACAATCAGGAAAAATTTGTAAAGAAAATCAAGGTAGGGAGCTGGAGGTATGGCTCAGCAGTTAAGAACACTGGCTGCTACTCCAAAGGACCTGGGTTCAATTCTCAGAATCCACATAGCATCTAACAACCATCTATAACCCTAGCTCCAAGGGAATCCAATGCCCTCTTCTGACCTCCATGGGCATTACACAACACTGGTACACTTACACACATGCAGGCAATACATTCATACACAAAATAAAACTAAAAACTTTTTTTAAAAATCCGGTTTAGACAGGCAAGGGGTAAACCAATGTTTCAGTTTCAGGAATATACTTTGTTTTTGCTAAATAAAAATAAGAAATCATCTAAGTTTTAAAATGTACAACAATACAAATGGAAATAGTTAAAGCTTACCAATTGAAGTAAAAAAGCCTGGATGGGCCGAAGACTGAGGAAGTAGAATTCCTATTATTAAAATACACCAGATCATCTTGAAGACTTAATTTTACAGGTTCACACACCTAAAAGAAAAATACAGCCATTTCTGAGTGAGAGAGAGAGAGAGAGAGAGAGAGAGAGAGAGAGAGACCTACAATTTCCATGAGCAAAACAGAGTCTGCAAGTTACCCATAGAATTGACACCAATTTTTCTAAAGTGACTTATTAACATTTAATTTCTGATGTTTTATATACTTAAGATATTTCATATAAAGAAAATATACATGTTTATTACATAGAAATTTATGCTTAAAGATTCAACCTGTTTGTTTTTCCTTAGTTACTATTCCAATTAGAGTAACTGAAAAGTTATAGCTTTTTATATAGTATGAAAAATGAGTTTTCCCTTTGATCTATATCTAAAACATGAAATTCCCACACTACACTTTAAATATCACCATGATGTTTTACAGATGTTAGAAAATGTTTTAAAAGAAAAACAACTTCAGAGCTCTCTAATCCTTAAAATTTCTAATTTAGGCCAGGCATGGTGCCACATGCTTTTAATCCCTGCCCTTGGGAGGCAGAGGCAGGTGGATCTCTGTGAGTTCGAGGCCAGCCTGGTCAACACAGAGATTTTTAGGTTACCTGGGGCTACAAGGAGACCCTGTCTCAAATAAACACAAATGTTAAAACTCAAAGTTTAGATTTGGGGTTTACAAAAACATTTTAAAATGTACTGAATCATGACTAAGTAGATTAATTTTGTATTGTGCGGTATATAAATTATCTATGAATGAAGCTATTTTTCGTTTAAGGCAAGGGCTCATGTGTCCCAGGCTGGCCTCAGGCATGCTACGTAAGTATTTTACAAACTGAACTATGACCCTCAACCATGACACCATGATGCTATTATTTTAAGTTATAGAGAATACCAAAAGAATAAATAGTCCTGTGTATTTAAACTAGTAATTTATCTTAAAGGACAGTCTTGAGGTTTGAGTTTTTTGTTTTGTTTTGTTTTTTTTAACCCTAGTATAGAGCTGTGGCTTTATAAAAACAACAACAAAAACCTGGTAGTAAAGTCCTTTTCTATTTTTCCATTTTCTTATGTATGTGAATCACATGTGCATAGGCATATATGTATATGTGTAGGCACGTGTGTGTTTGTGTTTACTTGTGTGTGCCATACAGGAGGCTGGAAGTCGATGTCTGGAATCACTCTTGCTTACTCTTTCAGCTTACTCATTGAGAGGTTCTTTCAGTCAAACTCAGCTCTCAACTTACCAATATGGCTTGTCTTGCTAGACACCTTGCTCTGGGGATCTGCGTCTCTGCCTTCTGAGGCTGGAATTACAGACAGGCTATCATGCCCACTTGGCATTATGTGGGTTCTAGGGATCTGAACTCTGGCTCTCACCCTGGTGCAGCAAGAGCTTTAACACCTGAGCCATCTCCCCAGACCACCTCTGTCTAGTCTCTCGTTCTCACTGTCCTTGGTAGCAGCCTTTCCTAGTGAGGATTTTCATGACAAATGAGGGCATTAACTATCCACAAAAAGGCTTCACCTAGCTTTAGGAGTCCTGCCAGCTTCCTGCTCCTTCTATACCACATGGGCTTTCTTACTTCTTTACAGCAAATTACCACCACAGTATTGCGTGCCCAGGTAGCAGGTTCCTAGTGGTTACTCTGACTTGCCACCCTAGTCCTTGTACTTCTGGCTGTTCCCATGTGAATTTATATACCAACAGGCTCAATGGAGGTCAAACTGAAAGCTCCCTATTCTAAAAAAACTGAAAAGTAACCTCACCTTCCTAACTTGAATCTTGATAAAAATAGACCACCACAAAAAAAAAAAAAAAAAAAAAAAAAAAACCTCTGGAAAACTCCTAAATCTCCACCCTCAAGTTTGTTACAGATTTCCAGATCCTTCCAGAACCCACACAGTAGTTTTCTTGGCTGCCTGACAGTGATCTGGGGAAGGCTTCTAGAGTGTAGCAGATGCAGGCACTTCCTCTCTTGGGCCCCTGCCAAAGCACAAGCCTTTTTCAAAACACCCAGCTGTCTGAAGAATCTAGAATTTTCTCAGTGCTTAAACAGATTTTTGTCACTATTTTCTTAATGAGTAAATACTATTTCCAGAAAAAATACAAAAGCTTTTACTGTATTAACAGAAGGCTGTGTTAACTGTATATAACTGTATTTTTTAGGAAATTTAGATTTGTAGGATGTCATTTGTTTCACTACTAAAATGAAGTAACTAAAGATTCCTTGTCACCTTCATTGTCCTTAAACTTCACAATTAACCAAGAAACAGGAGCTTACAGAAATAACTAAAAATCAGCTTTAAAATGATGTTTTTCACCAATACATTAACTTGAAAATTAAAAGATAGGTTTTTACAAAAATCAAAGCATTACTCATATGAATAGACTGTTTTTTCAAAATAAATTTTACAAACAGTTATGACCAACAAAACAACAAAAGTTATAGGGTCTCTGAAAGCAAAGAATTTTTAAACTTAAAAATAAGAAAACAGGTCTGGATGTGATGGTACATGCTTTTAGTCCCAGCACTTGGGAGGCAGAGGCAGGCAGATCTCTGTGAGTTCGAGGCCAGCCTGGGTCTACATAGTGAGTTCCAGGACAGCTGGGGCTACAGGGAGACTATGTCTCACAAAGACAAAAAAGTAAAATAAAACAAAACGAGAAAATGGACTGAAGAAAAGGCTCAGTGGTTAAGAGCCCTGGCTGCTCTAGAGGACATGGGTTCTATTCCCAGCACCCATATAGCAGCTAACAACCATCCAGTTCCAGGGGATCCAATGCCTCTTCTGACCTCTAAGGGTCATAACATGGATACACTTAATACATGCAGGCAATACAGTCACACACATAAAATTAAAATATTAAATAAAATATTGTTAAAAACAAAAAAAAAACAGGCCAGTGGGTTTGGAGCTCAGTAGGTAAAGGCACTTGTCACCAAACCTGATGACACAAGATTGATCCCTGTTTGCCAACTGGTGGAGGAGGGAACTGATTCTGATTCCCATAAATTGTCCTCTAACCAGCACAAGTGCACCACAGTACAAGCCTGCACGCATATCCACACACACACTCCAAAAAAAAAAAAAAAAACTTTTTTTTTGAGACAGGGTCTCCCTGTAGCCCCAGCTGTCCTGGAACTCACTACGTAGACCAGGCTGGCCTCGAACTCACAAAGATCTGCCTGCCTCTGCCTCCCAAGTGCTGGGATTAAAGGCGGGCGCCAAACAGGGCTGGGAAGATAACTCAGCTTCTAAAGTGCTTGCCTCACAAATGTGAAAACCTGTGTTTAGATTCCCAGAACCCAATCTGTAATCCCAGTGCTCATAAAGCAAGACAGGAGGCAGAGACAGGAGAGTCCCTGAAAGCGTACAAGCAGCTAGCCTTGTGTACACAGCAGCAAACAACACAACAGAGACCCTGCTCCAAGCAAGGTAGAAAAGGACAAGGACTGACACCAGAGGTATCCTCTGATCTTCACACACAAGTGCCTACACACACACACACACAACCTATCATAAGCCAGATGGAAGTTAAATATATAAAATAAGTTTAGATGGATCCATCTCGATGGTTTGGCAGGTAAAGGTGCTTGCCACGAAGGCCCAGGACCTAAGTTAATAATTCCCAGATAGCCACATGGTAGAAGGAGAGAACTGATTTCTGACAATTGTCCTCTAACTTCCACATGAACACTACGGCACACACACATATACACAGAAATACATACATACACACTAGATAAAATGTAACAATTTTTTTTAAAATAATGGTAAGTTTATAATCAAACCATAAGCTAGGAAAACATTTAAGAAAAACAGAGCTCTGGGACTGGAGAGATGACTCCGTGGTTACAAGCAATGATTGCTCTTGCAGAACACCCAAGTTTAGTTCACAGCACCCACATGGCAGCTGACAACTGTCCTTAACTCCAGTTCCAGGGGATCTGACGCCCTCTTCTGGTCTCTTCGGGCAATGTATGCACAGGTGCATGCAGGCAAAACATTCATACACATTAAAATAAACAGAGCTCTCCTAAGAAGTCCAGACATTAATAGAACTAGTAAGATGCTAAGAGACAATGGATAAAGAATTTAGAAACTCAGGAAGAGTGCCGGGCTTGATGGTACACATCTTCCATCTTTAGTCCCAGCACTCGGGAGGCAGAGGCAGGCGATCTCTGTGAATTCAAGGTTAGCCTGGACTACATAGCGAGTTCCAGGCCAGCTGAGGCTACAGGGAGACCCTGTCTCAAAAAGACCAAAAAAAAAAAGAAAAAAAGAAACCATATTTTAAAGTGCTTGTAATTTTAAAATCAAAATAAGGTATCATCTTTGCCCATTAAATGAACTTAAAATTAAATCCAATAAATTTACAATTAAAATTATCTAATTGTGGTGTATGTGAAATTATTAACTTGAAATTATATGAAAAAAAAAATTGGGGGGGTCTTTTTGAGACAGGAGGCCCAGCTGCCCTGAAACTCACTGAGATCCACCTGCCTCTGCCTCCCAAGTGCTGGGATTAAAGTCGTGCGCCACCACACCCAGACAAAAAACTATTTCAAAATTAGCATCTACAACTCTAATGGAATCTGTATTGAATGAGATATTTTCACTACATAACACAAAGTTATAAATAAATTAACACTGATCAAAACAAAACAAAAGCTGGATATAGTGATACATACTTCTAATTCCAGCACTAGGAGGCTGAGGCAGGAGAACCACAAATTCAAAGCCAGCCTGGGTTATAAAGTGAGAAACTATCTCAAAAAAGAAAAAAGATTATTATTAATATAATTATAACTATTAAAGTCACAAAAGCACAGAAGAACTTATAATAACTTTTCCATGATATTTCTGTATTCTTTTTATTGCTACTGTATATGCATATGACATATATGTGGGTGGGCATGTGCAAGTATGGAAATCAGACCACAACTTTGAGGAGCCGGTTCTATCCTTCCATCTTTACATGGGTTCAAGGGATCAAACCCAGGTCCTCAGGCTTGTATGGCAAGCCCTGTACCAGCT